CAAGAATTATTAAAACTCTAATACCATCTATATATATAAAAAGCCAGCGACCAGCACACTATAATGACCGGAATGACTGGTCACTATGACACCCACTGTGCTCAGCAAACTGGTCTGATCAGGGGTGGGGACAGCTGGCCAACCTCCTGCAGCCCCTTCCCTGGGCTAGCCCTACCCCCGATGGGCCCCTGCCACCCTAGTCAGCCTGCAGTCCCTCCCCCTGGCTGGCCCCTCTTCTTGGCTGGCCCCAACCCTGATCACCCCCTGTACACCAGTAGGGGGTAGGGCCAGCCAGCCAACCTCCTGAAGCCCCTCTCCCTGGCTGGCCCCTATCACTCCAATCAGCCCTCAGCCTCTCCCCCCAGCCAACTCCGCACCTAATCATCCCCCCACACCATTTGGGGGCAGGGCCAACCAGTTCACCATCCACACCCCCTCCCCATGGCTGGCGCTGGCTCCAATTGGCCCCCTGAGTTGGGGGCAGCCAATCACCTGCAGCTCTTCCCAAGAGCTGGCCTGGCTTTGATAGGGCCCCGATTGGCTGCATCTTCTCCTTCCAATAGGCCTAGCCCTGATCTGCCCCAATTTGGGATGGGCTGGCCAGACCTCACCGTGCATGAATTTGTGCACTGGGCCCTTGTTTGACAATAAAAGCACTATGCAGGTTATTCTTCGGTAATCAGAAATACAATAGTAGCCCAGCAGTACCTAGGCAGGTGAAGAGACCTTTAAGAACTAACGTACCGTGTTCATCCTTCAGACACTTACCTGGCATTTTCTCAGGTGCTCATTGCTGAGGAGATGAACAGGGGGAGACATTTCCTGCCTTTGAGGCTCACAGTCAGCCAAAGCAGATGCCATCTTCACAGCTGATTATTACACACCTAGAGGTCCAGTGCACGGAATTCATGCACAGGTAGGGTCCCTAGGCCTCACCCAACATCTCAGCTGTGAGACAACTCCCCATACAAGGACACCATGACGCTCACCAATGGAGGACTCTTGTCCAATGGAAGAAAAGCTTCTTTTTTAAAAATTCAGTACTAAACTTAAAATGATTTACAATCTAACACAACATTTCTATTACAATATGCCCACAAAGGAATACACGATCAAATGTAATCTATAAAGAGTCTATATTATATGATACTAGCTTCTGCAAGTTACTTCCTAAGATGAAAAACTAGTTAACTAAGAGAAAGTTAGTTTTAGAAATAGTGTATGCTTCCATTTGAGAAATATTTCCATTGAGAATGGATTACTTTTTGAAAACAAACAAACAAACAAACAACCTAAAAAAAAAAAAACCTACTTGGAACACCTAGTTGCAGGCTTAAAGCCCCCAATTTTGTTAAAACAGGCTAATCTACATTTTGTATCTGAGTGACTATGCATGCCAGTATGTAAGTAAAGTCACATCATTCTCCAACTTCCATGGGAATTCTCACAAAACCATTATGGATTTAATTGCATATTTTAAAAGAAAAGTTCATTCTCTTCTGTTTTGGAACATGAAATTTCAGGTTAGGGAGAAGCAGCCAGAGTCCCAAATTTAATGATAGCTTGTTAAAATTATTCTTTTCCCCCTTATTTTTAATTTATTGTAAAATTATCAAAACTATATTCGCATGGACAGCATTTCTCATCCTGAATGTTTTAAAATTTATAGTATTTTGTTATGTGTGTGTCATTGGAAACAGACTTTTTCCACCCTAAAAAAAAAAAGAGAAAAAGAGTATGTTTGCATTTTCTTTGTTCAAGATGTTTATTGCATCTCAGAGGGCATACATGCATTGGGTTTTTAAACTGAAATACAAAGAAAGCCATTTTGAAATTAGTTTTAGGTAAATTTTCCCCATTATAGTGTATGTTATCCCCACAATAAATTCAGATACAACCACTTTAAAATGGTACCATACATCTATTAAATAATTTGAAAAATAGGCAAACACCTTTCCAACCCAATATGCTTTTACAAAGAGCTGCCAAGCCACTAGCAACACTGATCAACAGTAACCTCATTTATGCATCAAAATCTTAAGCCAAGCCATCAGCACAGTGTGACAACAAATTAAAAAGTAAAGAATACAGTATGTACAATAAAGGATACAATTTTCTGAATTAGTTTAAACTTTAATCACAATGGTACAACAAAACCTACTTTGAGCTCAGTTGAGGGATGGCAGAATACTAGTCTACAGAACACACAGAGAAATACTAAATTAACAGGTGTACATAAAATTCACAATAAAATAAATTATTTGCAGCAATTTTTCAATTACATATATACCTTGGGGTGCCTTCATAATTATCACTTGAATAGCACATCTCCAATTGCATTTATATGGACATGATAGAAACAGACCCTTGACTTTTCAGTGCATTTAATCAAGAATGAATAAATAGGCCAATTTGGATGCAAAACCTGTCAAATATAATTAAAATATAGATTTTAATATAGCAGGGAATTCTCACTTTTTTCATTCTTGATAAGGTAGCTTCAAGGAGAAATATTTATTATGGACATTAACCTTTATATTTTTTTAAAATAAAATTTCTTAACATATACAGTGCCACAAAAATAAACATTTCTCACAACAGTTGAAGTTCCTGTGATTGGAAAAATGTATTCCACACCGAAAAAAGTTTTGTATATTTATGTGTTTTCCTTACTATTTGATATTATCACACTATTCCTGTAACAGAGATGCAGAAGAAAAGAGAACTTATGGAGAGTTTAGGTTTGTCCAAAAGTCATATGTACATTGAAACCTTCAAAAACACAGACACATCTTTCCAAATGGCTCATCACACAACAGCTGCATCATCCGTCCGTGGGCGAGGTCAGAAAAGCACTACGGGCATGAGAAACATCCACTCATTGTTTACATCATACAACACACAAAGAACCCAAATACGCTACAAGTCTGAGAATAGGGATAACAGCTAGGGGAGTACACATTCCTAAGGTTCACTTTCACAGCTGTGCTACACGTTTCAGGAGAGAAGGTATGAGTAAGCATTGGGTTTGGTACTGGTGGCTCACTTTGTAAGTCTGAGCATCAATCTTATCTGAAGTCTCCAAACTCATTATTTTTTTTCCTAGTCAGTCACAAAAATTGCAGCTGTAAAGATAAAAAGCACTTGAATTAGAAAACAATATGACATACTCATCAAGCATTTTATTTATCTCCCTTGCAATGTTACTTCATAGGTAGCATGAAGAATCTTTATGCAAAAGGTTTCTATGTTACAAGATTCACCTTCATATACCTTTAGGCAATCTCTAAAATGAGCTTAAAATTTCAGCCAGGAAATTAAAAAACACAACATTTTAATGTATAGTTTTGTTTTAGGAAAAAACTGTATTAGCAGAATTTTGGAATTTGGATACTTAAGAATCTTAATAGGAAGACATTCAGTTTCAATTAAGAACAGTTAACATTTAGAAAAGAGCAGTGAAAAAAGGGAATGGCAGGGACTTCTCTTATTATTATTGTTGTTGTTATTATTAATTTATTTTTAGTTATGATGCTCAATGTGTCACCAAACAGTTAAACAAGTGACAGAATAGAAGAGAAAGGAGATATTTTTGGTAACTCAATGCCTTCATTTTTACTCTGCTCCCACCCGCACTTCACCAGTCCTCTTTGCCACGAAACCTTTCCTGGGTCTTTAAAGCTTGGCCCTGTGGGCAACTCTTCACAAAACACTCAGTGTGTGTCTTCCTCTTGACTGCGAATCCCTGAGGGACTGTTTCAAGGATCTCTGTTTTGGGTACTTAACAGCATCCCTGATATAGGATAAGAGCAATATTCACTGAATAACAGGCTGACAAAAGGCTGCTCTTGAATTTTAATTGCTGGTGCCTACATCAGCCCAAGTCAACCCAAAGTGGAATATAAAAGGCACAAGAGAAAGTACTTGGCTAAGGTGACCAGACATCCCAATTTTCAACAATTTGTCCCATGGCATTTTAAAAAAATCCCAATGTTTCCACAAATTGTTGAAAATCGGGACTGTCCCACCAAAAGCAGGACGTCTGGTCACCTTATACTTGGCTGAGATGTCAAAGTTTTAAACTATTAACTTTGTATAAGAAAAAAAAATAAAGCAATAATTTAAAAAAATCTTAGTGGCATTAGAGAAAGTTTAAACATATATAGGCATAAATAAAAAATAACACCGGGGAGTGCTCCAAAAGTTCAACACTCTGCTCCTCCAGCATGAGCCTGGGCTAATCGCCTGATGCCAAGTGTCAGTTCCTTTCGCTGTGAAGTGGAGACTATCTGGCTAGTCTATCTCACTGGGTTTGATCTCCTACAGAGAAGATCAAAGAAGTCAATGATTGAGAGGTGGGTAGGGAAAGTACTGAAAATAATGAAAAGCAGCATTATTACTGCTCATCATACTCAGCAAGTATTTGTTGAGAACCACCCCACTGGGTAAGGTGTTGGGTTGAACAGTCAACTTTTCCCTTCATCATAAACTCACTATTAATCACTCCGTATTATGTTAGGAATTTAAAACTAGAATGTTAAAATTTAAAAATTCTACTTGAATGTAGAAAAGCAAAAGGTAATAATCTAAGTTTCATTTGATGAGGCTAAGAAAGGCCGAAGAAGATAAAAATACAGTATATTCTTAGCTGATTTCTAAATACAGTATCATAAATGTTACTTTTTTATAAATTCCAGTCACAATTTACCAAGTAGCTTGAACAATTTTCTCCTTTATCAGTATAATATCTATCTTTCCAGTCTAAGGACAATTTGGAGATTTGTCTTTCTCTTCATTTTACAAATTAAGATAAAAAATCATTGATAATTCATTAGTAGCTTTTAATATTGATTAAAACACATAAACACTCAAATTATAATGATCATATACATGTACTAAAAACACAGAAGTACAAATATCATACCTAAAGTAGCTAAACATTGCACAGGTAATTATTACAAGCCCACAGGAAAAGCTCAATATTAGATACCTTAAATTGTTTACAAGAAATCCTTGATGTTAAGATCCGCTAATGGGTCCTTTGCTGGAGGTTTCTTGGGACTCTGAGTGGCAGGTGTAGGGCTTGGAGAAAGCTAATGGGGAAAAGCCAGCCCCAGAGAGGAGAAATAGAAAGCAAACAAGAAAGATAGATAAGCATTAGGCAGAGCACGCACCACCGAAAACACACATGCGGGAGATTAGATGACTAAGGGTTTACAAAATCTACTTTGTTCTACTTAGTCACAGTGTTGTGCTTAGTTTTGGAACTTGTAAAATATACTTCAGATGATATTTGGCTTTTCTGAAATTCTTTCATATCAGATGCAGCCAAAAAATTGAAGGACTCTGGTAGAACAATATGGATATGAGTTAGAGAAGATGTAAAAGACTAGTCACATAAAGATATTATGAATACACAGTGAGCAAAACAAAATAAACAATTTCTCTGAACACAAACATTTTGACGTTGGGTTATTAGTGCTACTAAACTAATGAAGGAAATTTAAAGAACTTTTATAGGGAGAGTGAGTTTGAAGGAAACATTGAAGAGTAACAGTTTGCAGAAAGCCACAGAAGAAATTACTTAAAATTATTAGCTAAATATACTAGGATTTTATATAAAGCATTTAAAGTTTGGGGTACTGTCTGTCTCAGAGGAGCAAACAGTTTCCTAGTTATAAAAGTCACTAAATTCCAACATCACCTGTCCAACTTGCAGAAAAGACTAGTTATTCAACACTATAGGAAATAATCATACTGAACTTGTAGTAAAGGCAGCAAAGAATTGCTTTACCTGGTTTCTGTTTGACACCTAAATTATTTCATTGTGTGACGGAAATAGGTTCTGGGATCAGGCTTCTGCAGGAATGCTAGGGTACAAGGCCTTAATTTGGTTATTGTAATCTATGTAGAATAGTAACCTTTGAACCTAATTAATCTCCAATGTTCATATGATAGAAACCTCAGGAATCTGGGATTTCAGGGCAGGGATGTGTTTATTGGTTCAGTAAACTGCTCCAGAAATAAGAATTTTCAGGTGTGTTCTTATGTCCAAAAACTATTGACTGATTGGAGAATCTGTCAGTCGAGTTTCCATTTAAAAAACTTGATTCATACTTCATAGGAAGATCAAGAAAAAAATGAGTAATGGTTGGAGTTGTTTGGAAGATAAGAAACTCAAGGACTGATTCACAATTAAGATTCATAATTAATAATTAGGTGAGATGATAACAACAACATAATACCAACCAATGGAGGAATAATGGGATTGTCCAGGCATCTCATCAGTTATGAAAAGCTAATCTGTTCTCTGAAGCTACAAGTTATGTTTATTATCTACCCAGTTTCCCCGAAAATAAGACAGTGTCTTATATTAATTTTTGCTCCCAAAGATGCGCTATGTCTTATTTTCAGGGGATGTCTTATTTTTCCATGAAAAAGAATACGGTACACATTTATTGTTAAATAAAAATAAAGGAAATTTATTACCTGTATACAGTAAGGTAAATTAATTTTCATTCGAGACAGAGCCTAGGGGAGGGTCCTTATTTTTTGGGGGGAATGCCTTATATTTCACTCAGAAGGAAACCTGTAAGTAGGTCTTATTTTCGGAGGATGTCTTATTTTCAGGGAAACACGGTAGTATAATCAGCTATGCTTCATCTCTAATAAAGGATATACATCTAAAAATTGTATAAGTATGACATGCCATTTTCTAAATTACTATAAATTTGTTTAAATGATTAAAACATTGTTTTCACCATATACTCTACTTCTCAAGTTTATTCTTTGAATTAAGTAAACAAATTGATACTACGTAACACTGGCAGTATGCTAAAAAAAAACAAACCACTACCTTAAATAATAAAGTTGTATTAACTTATTTGTAAAATTTTCAGCACACCAAGTTCATTAAAATAGAAGCATTTTCCTTTTTTCAGAAAGTGGTAAATAGTCATAGATATATTCAACCATCAAGGTAACACACCTGATAAGTGAGATCCTTCTTAGAAATCAAAAATATCTAGATTGGATTTAACCTTACTATTATCCCTCACACTTTCCTCACACTCCCCAAAAAGCAACTCTAGGAAGGGTTCATCGTCTCAGATGAGACTAGGACATTTCATGAAGACAATGCTTTAGTTATGGCATTGAAGGCCAGGGTTCCTCACATTTTAAATTTATCTCTTTGAACACCTACACCATTCTCTCTCCTAGTCACTGTGGCTTTGAGAGATTAAAGTAAAAAAGTTGAAAGTATGTTTTGGGAACAGGCAGAAAATGGATTTAGAGATGATTTAAGGAACAAAGGGGGTTCATGTACATTCAGAAAGTTCACAGAAGGAATCCTATGGATAACACAATATAAATACCCTTTGGTATGCTAAAAATATAGAAGTAAAAATGTTTACTGATATTGTTCAAAGGTATCTGACTGATTAGCTTTAGTTTGCTCAACATAGTGCTTGTGAAGTTATATCTTGGTATTCTGACTATATCTAAGTCAGTTTCTCATGGTGAAAACATCCTTGGTTCTACATACTATACCTCCTCCAGACAATTTCTAAGAGAACTCAAGAAAGGGTGACTCATCAGCATGACTATCACTACAAGCAGCAAAAGCAGTTCTACCAAGTGCACATGTTTTAGCGTCTTTGTTAATGAAGGTAGCACCATGTTGAGTAAGAAGTTGGGCCTCACCTAAAAAGAGGTTTGCCTTTTCTTCTGGGTACCCTCTAAACCTTTGGAATTTCCCAAGTGACTTTGTTAGTAAGGTTGGATTTTTGAAAGGATACCTGAAAGGTTTTGCTAACAAGATAACAACTCGGGGGCTAGCCGTGACAGAAAAACCAAGCATGCGATTTGAGAGTTGGGTCTTTGGGCTATATGATATCACTCTGAATTTTAGGGAGGAGTGAGGGTGGGTAGATTAATAATTCTACACTGGCGATAATTCCATTAATCTTTCCTATATAATGAGACCTCAATGAAAACTCTGCACACTGAGCTTCCTGGGTTGACCATCCTGCATGAGTACTGACACACATTGACGCCAGGTGGGTAAACCCATCCCTGAGGACAGAGAAGCTTCATGCTGAGAACCCTCCCAGAATTCACCCTATGTATCTCTTCTTTTGGCCGGATCTAATTTGTAGGCAGCTGACCTGAAGTGAATGTGAGATCCCCTGGACTCCCAGACTCGTGGCTGGTGTTGGAAGTGAGGGTCATCTTGTGGGGACTGCTCCCTTAGATGTTACAGTTTGGCAAACTCCCTCAGGTTAGTGTTACACATCTAGGGCAAACTTGGCAGTCTGGAGGACTGTGTCCCTAACCTTGAGTTTGGCTAACTCTGGAAACACACAATAAAACTGTGGGTCAGAAGTACTCATTTTTTTTTTTTTCTGGAATACATGCATAGATACTTTAAATGCCTGGTTGTCCTCAGGAACCATCCTGCATGACGTAGGAGAGGAATGGTGGGACTTCAAGACAGGTAGTTATTTCTGTCATTTCTACCTCACAGTATTGCTAGTCTGTCTCCCATGCTCCCTTTACTCCTGGAGCAACAGACAGGATAGTAGGCAACAACATTTCAACAGTGTTCCACATGACAAGTTAATACTTAGCAACAAGCGTCACCATTCTGTGGATGTTTACACGGACCTGTGTGCCAGGGCCAGCCGCCGCTCCAAAGGGTGGCCTCATCATGGGCTGTGCAAACATGACTGGCTGCTGCGGCATCATGGGCATGCCCGTCCCCGCCGGAGGCTGAAAAGGAACAGCGGTTCACAGTGTGAGTGGACTCCACCGTGGACTCCAGGACATGAGGAAGTGTATTGTGTGCATCCATGCTAGAGGGTGGCAGAGAATCATGGAGGTGCTGTGGAAGCGGGGCTGGCCACATAGCACCCTCATCCCAACCAGGCTTTGTTGCTGTTTATTTGCCTTCGGTAGGCATAATTCTTAAAGTGGTAAAACCCTATTTCTTTATGGATGATGGCCCTACCATTTGCTAGTGATGAAAGTGGTAAGTGAAAAGTCCTAATATGAGAGCATAAGAGTACATTTTGATGATTGAGCTAAGAATGTTTGATAAATATTACTCCAAAAATGACATAACAATGCACTATCGAAATTATTTTGATAGGAATAATTTTAACTATTTTGTATGTGACCTTATCATGTCATGTGTAGACAACCTATGTCTAAAGCAGATGAGGTAACTTTTAAAGTTTTACCTTACTGCATTCTGGGAAGAATTATATTCCATAGCAGTATTTTTTAATCTGGGATTGGGCAATTTGGCAAAGGCCTTAGAAATGTCAATCACACTTTTTAGTGCAGGTTGACACTCACCATTCCAAACCCTGCTCCTGGTTGTCCAACAGGTGGGGCCCCAGCACCAGGAGGAACTGAACTGGTTGGAGGTACAGCTCCTTGCTGCAAAAAAAAAAAAAAAAAAAAAAAAAGCACGAGACAAACATACACACAAAATAACAACCAAAAAGAAAGAACCACGTGATTTTGTTTAAAATGACAATATAATTTTAAAATGCATACTCCTTAGGTAATGTAGATATGCAAAGAATTTTCAAATTTCAGTTTTAAATTAAAAAAAAAAAAAAAAACGGGTCTAGCACCATGACAATTATATGAACATACTTACCAAATTGATGTTCACTGTTGTAGTGCTTTTTGGGCTCGTTGGCTTGTTGATTAGTTATAGCATAGGGTTTCCCCTCTACCTCCATATATATCTCTCTTCCACCCTCATGATAAATGAGTCAAATTTATCTAAGCTCTTCCTTTTCTCACCTAAGGATACACGCTTTCCCAAAAATGTATACACACACTTTGAATGATTATAAAGGCAGTGTTTATATATATATATTTTTGATTTTAGAAAAAGGAGAGAGAGAGTAAGAGAGAGAGAGATCAATGTAAGAATGAAACATCCATCAGTTGCCTCTCATACATGCCCTTATCAGGCATCAAACCCATAACCTATGTGTCTTGACCAGAAATTGAACCTGCAACCTTTTGGTGTATAGACTGCTGTTCCAACCACCTGGACCACCTAACCAGGGCTCCCATTTTTAAATTATTCTTTTTTGTGTTGTACTTGCTTTTTCTGACTTGAGCATTGTACATTTGCACAATGGCCAAAATTTTTAGTTTTAAGAAGCATTTAAAAGATCGCACACACATATCCCATTTCAGATACAGGTCTGGTAGTTTTCAGTCATACAGTCAAACCCTCTAATATTTCCCTTAAGTTTAAAATTAACCATACTGCAATGCCTTAAATTTAAAGTTAACAATTAGAGTAAAACTCTAAAAAAGGAAATATTACAGTGATGTCAGCAAAAATGGTGAAGTAAGGAACTTTAAAAGCCATCTCCATCTCCCCCTGCAAACCTCCCCCCCCCCCCCAAAAAAATAATGGCTAAATAAGCAAAAAAGTCATAATCAACTATTTGGAACTCAGGAAACTAAATAACAGTTTAAGCAACCTAGAAGATACTCATTCAAGAGTATTAGTTGAATCTTAATAAGAATAGTGAACTTTGAGACATTTTAACTTAATCTTGTTCCATCCACTGTTTTCTACTTAAGCTGTAGTCTAGAAAATAACAGCACACATTCCCAGCAATAGTACCAGAAGGAAGCAGAACATATTTAATTATTTGTTTTGATTTGTCTGGGTGGATCCCTGGAAAGGTTGCCTCAAAAGTCTGTCTTTGCCTTGCCAAACTGGGAATGCACCTAGTGTTAAAGCTGCTGTCTTAACTCAGTTGTGGAAAATATTTACAAGCAAATAGTTCAGATGTTGCTGACTGAGGCAACAAAAGACAGTTAGAGCAAATAGCAGACTAAGCAAAAAGCTTGGGAAGGAAAGGCTGGAGAATGAGATACGTTGGGGGTTTAGACTTTGAAGAGCTTAGACATTCTCCTGGAGATTTAGAAGGCCACGCACATGCCTAGGAAAGACTTGACAAGTCCTCTGGTTCACCTTGATGCCTTGAGCAAGCAGCAGGTGGTTGCTAAGGTAGAGTTGCAAACTGCCTGGTTGAGTTTGAAGACATGCTGCAACACACACTCAGAGCTTCTCTATAAGAGCTAGGAGATAATTTATATTCTGGGAGTTTTATATAATTATCAGCTGATCTAAACTTAAAGAAACAGAGACTTCAATGGTCACACTTGACAAAGAACACTCACTACAGAATTAATTCAGAATGGTCACTAAACAAACAAACAAACAACAACAACAACAAAAAACAACCAAAAACAAACAACTAAAAAAGTAGCAACAACAAACCTCTGGGGAAGGGGTAGAATCTGATTTTGAGTTGCCACATTATGATATTCAAAATTCCCAGGTTTCAACAGAAATTTGTGAGGCACACAAATAGGAATGTATAGTTCATATGCAGGAGAGACATCTCAAATCAATTAAACTTCCATCTTAAGAACAAACTAAATCCAAAGTAAGCAAAGGAAGTAAGTAATAAATATTAGACTAGAGATACATGAAAGAGAGAATAGAAACACAAAGTAGAAAACAGAAGAAATAAAAAGCCGATTCTTTGAAAAGATCAATGAAATAGATAAGCTTGCAGTAGACAAACCAAAAAAAAGAGCAAAACTTATTTATCAGAATGAGGAATGGAAGTGGGGACATTACTACCAACCTTGAAGAAATAAAAATGACTGTAAGGAAATATTATGAGAAATTATATACTAAAACATTAGATAACCCAGGTAAAATTATAAAATTCTTAGAAATACAGAAACTAAAAGAAGAAATAGAAAATTTAAGTAGATGTATTGCAAGTGAAGAGACTGAGTCAGTAATCAAAAACTTTCACCATAGAAAAGCCCAGAACCAGATAGCTTCACTGGTAAATGCTTTTAAATATTATGAAGAAGAATTGATAGCAATCCTTCTCAAGCTTTCTCTCTCTTTCTAAAAAAGAATATTTCTTAATCATTCTTTGATGCTAATTTATTACCCTGATACCTAAGCCAGACAAGAACATCATAGAAAAAGAAAACTACAGATCATTATATTTTATGAACACTAATGCAAAAATTCTCAACAAAATACTAGCATACTGAATCCAGCAACATATTACATACCATGGCCACATGAGGTTTAACCAAGGAATTCAAGGTAGGTTCAACCAATATAATATGTTATATTAATAAATTTAAGAAAAAAAATCCCACATGATCATCTCAGGAGATGCAAAAAAGGCATATGACAAAATCTAACACCCTTTCATAGACACAAGAAAAGACTCAACAAACTAGGAATAGAAGCAAAATTCCTCAACCTGATAAAAGGCACCTAAGAAGAAACTATGCTTAACATCATACTTAATATTGAGTGACAAAGATATACTGGATGTTCTAATTAGGGCAATTAGGTAAGAAAAAGAAATAAATATCAATCAGGGAAGAATGGAAGAAACATACTTATATGGTCAGTTAATCTACGACAAAGGAGGCAAGGATATATAATGGAATACAGACAGTCACTTCAGTAAGTGGTGCTGGAAAAATTGGACAGATACATGTAAAAAATTAAAGTGAACCACTTTATTATACCACATACAAAAATAAACACAGAATGGATTAAATCCTTAAATATAAGACCTGAAATCATAAAACTCCTTGAAGAAAACATAGACATTAAACTCCTTGACTTTTCTCTTGACAATATCTTTTTGGATAAGTCTCCTTGAACAAAGGAAAAACAAATGTGACTCAAGCTAAAAGGGTTTTGCACAGCAAAAGAAACCACTAACAAAACAAAAGACAAGCTATTGAATGAGAGAATATATTTCCCAATGATACATATGATAAAAGAGCAAGAGACATGAATACTCATTTCTCTAAAGAGGACATACAAATGGTCAGTAGATACATGCAAAGATGCTCAACATCGCTAATCATCAGGGAAGTGCAAATTAAAGCCACAATGAAATATCACCTACCACCTGTCAGAAAGGTTATCATCAATAAATCAACAAACAAAAAGTGTGGGTGAGGATGTGAAGAAAAGGAAACTTGTGCACTGTTGATGGGACTGTAAACTGGAAAAGAATATAGAGGCTCCTTTAAAATTTAAAATAAAGCTTCCACATGAACCAGCCATTCTACTTCTGGGTATTTATCTGAAGAAACCAAAACACTAATTTGCAAAGCCATATGCCCCCCGTGCTCACGGCAAATTCAGTAGTTATAGCCAAGATATGGAAGTAAACTAGATGTTCATCAAATATATAATAAAAGCCTAATATGCTAAGAGTTCAGTCATCCGTTCAAGCAATTAAAGCGTAATATGCTAATGATATTCTAAGGCCTCTCAACCATTTGCTATGACACACACTAACCACCAGGGGACAGATAATCGACCAGTTGACCAGTTGCTATGATGTGCATTGACCACCAGGAGGGAGATGCTCCGACTGGTAGGTTAGCTTGCTTCTGGGATTGGGTCGATTGGGGCTAAGTGAGAGGGGCTGGACACACCTTGGAGCCCTCCCATGTTCCCTCTCTGGCTGGCCAAGCTCCTGCATCCTTCCCCTGCCCTGATTGTGCACTGGTGGGGTCCCTCGGTCTGGCCTGTGCCCTCTTGCAACCTGGACTGAGGGACCCCACCTCCTGAGTGTACAAATTTTGTGCACCAGGCCTCTAGTGTGTGTGTGTGTGTGTGTGTGTGTGTGTGTGTGTGTATATATATATATATATATATATATATATATATATATATATAATTTTTTTGTTGCTGAATAATATTTCATTGTATAGATAGATATAATGAAATATTATTCATAAATAAAATGGAATGAAATCTTGTCATTTGTGGCAACATGCGTGGACCTAGAAGGCATTATGCTAAGTGAAGTAAGTCAGACAGAGAAAGACAATTATCATATGATTTCATTTATATGTGGAACCTAAAAAAACAAAGCAAATGAATAAATAGAACAAAAAAGAAACAGACTCACAGATACAGAGAATAAACTGATGGTGGCCATAGAGGAGGGGATGGGAGGATGGAATAAAACATAAATAAAAAGGGAAAAGAAAGAAAGAAATCAAACTATCTCTATTTGTAGGAGACATGATTTTATAGATAGAAAGTCCTAAGGAATCCATACACAAAAAAACTTTCAGCGTTAATAAGCTTAGCAAAGTCATAGGATATAAAATCAATATACAAAAATCAGTTCTCTGTACATTAGCAATGAACAATAAAAAACAAAATTACAAAAACAATTTCATTTAGAGTAGCATTAAAAATAATAAAGTACTAAGCAATAAATTTACGAAGAGAAGTACAAGACAACTATAAAGCTCTGTAGAAAGAGATTAAAGAAGATTTAGATAAATAGGAAGTATGCTGTGTTCATGGGCTGGCAGGGTAGAGGGAAAGCTATTTTGCTCCCCCTACAAGTATTATATTTCAGATTTACTCTTTACTCATCTTTTCAACAGGATAGGCTCAGTAAGCTATTCACCAGACCCAGAATTATATAATTTATTGGAACCATGCCAGTTATCAGAATTGTAAATAATAATTGTATTATGTACCTGAATTATATCATTGGGACTTAAGGAAATAAAAGAGGGGAAAAAAAAGGTTTTTATTAGTTATCAAAACAAAATGAGCTCCGGTCAAATAATTTCAAGAGAGTCTTAATCTGTCATTTTGCTCAAATGGTAGATTAACTAAAAAAAATTTCCTCTCCAGTTATTATTTTTCTTAAGGTTTTAAATTGTTTTCTTTTTCAACCTCAAGTGAATATTTTATCTTGGCGTATAAAGGTTGGTTGTATTTAGGAGAGAACTACAGATTCTGTGATTTCCTGTAGAATGCACATATTTCTGAATTGCAAGTACCTTCTCACTTTGTGTGATGGAAACCTGAGAGGCCTGTTGTGCATTGGAAAGCAGGACCAAGAAGAAATGCAGGGCTCTCGGTGGCCACGATGACAGAGCCCGGCCAGCAGACAGATTCCAAGCAGTCAAGTCCTGCTAAGGTTTCTAGTTCTAATTTCAGTTCTCTGATCTGAAAAACTTTATAGCTGCACCTCCACGCCACAACTGAGGGAAATTCGAAACAAATTTGGAAAAGCAACCTTAGCTCTTGTTTACGGATAAAAACTTTAAAAGGCACACTCTATTCTGTCCCCTCAATTTCCTACTCCAAGGTAAAGGCCTGCAGAAGGCCAGGGAAATTTGGTAACACTTCTGAAGCACAAGCCTTGGCCGTCTCTTTTCCTTTTCTTGGACATTCTTAGGAAAAGAAATGTAAACATATTTTAAGGAATAGAAAAAGGGGAGAACAGGATGGAGGGAAGCCAGAGGCCTTGGAGTGATTTCTGAGGTAAAAGCAAAGCCAAAGCTTTGTTAAGAAAGGAGAGCTTTGCGGTGACTGCAGTAAATGGTAGTGGATTTGTATAGACTACAAATAAGGCTGAGAGTTAATAAAGATAAAATCACTCTGCATGCAAGAGCCTTTATAGTGTGGCCTGAGTGTTAAGGAAAATAAACAAAGGAAAGAGAACGACAGGTAACTCTGCCCTTCTAATAAATTATTTCTGTTCTAATTTCCCTTCCCAGAGCTGCTGCAGCTATTTTATGCTCAAACCTACTGTCCCTAAGATTCTGGAGCTTACTAAAAATTTAAAACTTTCTGCTTCATAAAAAAAAAAAATGGAGTTTTGAGGTTTTAAAAAAATGAGACTATTAATTTCAGTGATGGTGCCTGCCATTCAGATGAATGGCAGTCTTGCTACCCTGGAGAAGCAAAGCAGTTGTTGAGTATTTGATGCACTCGTCGCCTGTACGGTTCAAATCTTGATCTCAGGGGAGGTAGTTGCCAGGGAAGGTCTCCAACCTAATGCTATTTTTAAAGCACTTCTCTCTTATTCTCCTTCTTGGTTAATGGCCTCTCTTTGTTTAGCAAACTGTCTCGGATAGAAACTTGGGCAACCACTGTCTTGGTGGCTTCACTGACAACAGCTCACAATTGTGTGGATTCTACTGGAGAGTTTTCTTTCTTGTCTTCCTTCCCCTTCACTTCAAGCTCTGACACCACCCTCCTCCCCCTTTTTTTAACCTACAGTTGATCTGCCAAATATCAGTACTTCACCACCCTTTCTCCAGTCCCCTCATTCCTTCTTAGATACTGCTATCACCTTGACTGTCCTGAAATTTACTTGTTAAAAAACAATTAAAAACTTGATCCTTCCTGGGCTGAAGTGTCGCAATGGTTGAGCTTCGACCTCTGAACCAGGAGGTCACAGGTCCATTCTTGGTCAAGACACATACCCTGGTGGTGGGCTTGGTCCCCAATGGGAAGGAGGCAGCCAATCAATGATTCCCTCTCATATGTCTATCTGTCTCTCTCTGTTCCTCTTTGAAACCAATAAAATATATTTGGGGGAAAAAAAACATACACAAAAACAACAACTTGATCTTGCTGTAAAGGGCACCACCATTAATGTATTAACTTCTCAGAATAGCACACAAGGGGCCTCTTTAATTTTGCATAGAATAGAATAGGAAATTAGTTCCTTTAAAAAGCTTCTTTAGCACGGATCTTTTTCTTTTCTTCTAAAGAAGCTTTTTCTTCCATTAGGGATTTTATACATTTATTGACCCACTTTCCCTGAACCCCAAACAAGACAGGGACTCTCAGATGTTTTTGTATTGAAGAATGAAGTGCAGCTCCCTTTGGTCTCAGCATCTATTGGAGTCACTAACCACAGGTAAATGCCTGGGATCCCAGGGTAAGAAATATATTCCCTTTCTCCCATAAATGAGCCCTAATTTAAACAATAAATTAAATGGCCATCTTAGTCATACATCACTTTTAAAGAGAAATTTAGTTTTCTACTAAGTATCCTTTGTAAAATTTAAAATACAAAAAATGGTTTTCTTAAGCATTGTTTTAAATAATGCAAAGATAGATTTAAAGAAATAGATACTTAGATACGATGGGCAATTTTTTATTGTTATCAGTTAGGAAATCACTTAAAGTTAAGATTTTTCAGACATTGAAGTCACCAAAGAAAATATTAGCCCTTGAATTTCCTCTCTCACTACCACCACTGGTGGAGGTGAGGAGATAAGAGAAAGTAGGTTTCCAGAAAAAAAATGTATTTTCCTATAGAAACTATGGTATAAATTGTAATTTAGTGAATACTGTTAGTTCTGTTTAATGGTGAATTTTGACTCAAAAGGCATTATTTAGATTGGTTCGAACTTATTTTTATTTATAAAACTGCTTATATTTAAAAACATTACTATTTATAAAATTATTTAAAAGACAATAAGTTCTAAATTCCAAAACTTAGGTATTTAAATTAATTTTGGAAACACAATAGTTTTAGTAGAGTCTATCTAAAATGTTTACATTCTATTTATATGAATTCACTTCCATGCATGTTTGTTTGGCTGGGATTGGTGGGTGATAGTTAGAATTAATGCAGGCAATAAGGAGAGTATGACATCAAGAAAGCCTTTGAGATGGTGTGATATAGACAGATGAAGGTGGTAAGTAAAGTTGAAAAATTGTGAGTGAACTTGGGAAATAGCAACTAGCCTAGTTTTGCTAATTGTGGAGCATATTTAGGAAAACAGTAAGTTTTGCTACCTTTGGAAAAGTCCTTTTTATGGTAGAAAATTTCATAAAATAATAATTAGTCTTTATTACCAGTGATATGCTATTTCATAGAGCGAATGGTGGTATTAATATATTAATAGAAATTTAATATACCGAAATAAAACCTATTTAAATTTTATAGAAAAGATGGTGTTAGTAGTTTTGATTTTTGAAATGGTGAGGAGAATTGATAGTGATTTAAAATGGAAGTTCACTTACACAGTGGAAAATTGCCCAATCTTTCTGGTAAGAAAAAAAATTGTCATTACTTAAGACAATCAAGAAATCTGGGCAAGAAATATGATAAAATATAGATAATGACCAATGTTATTAAATGATTTTGAAAAATTATTTCCATACTTATACAAATATAAAACAAATATCTCAAGAAGCATATATTTAGAAATAATTAAAATTAAAAAATAGGTCATAATCTTTATCAAGTATAAAGTCAATAAAGTTTGCATTTTGATAAATATTGCAACTTGCTTGTACTACTTCGGAGTGCATGGAAAAGTACATTGTCAGTAGCAAAATTAAGCAAAATGCACTGTGCTGTACACACTGGGAACTGGCAAACTGTCCACACGGCCCAGGCCTCCAGGGGCTACGTACCAAAGGTGCACTTGATGGAACTCCTGTGGACCAGGTTGCTGGGGCCACTTTTGGCTGCCAGTTGGCACCACCAGTCAGCTTTTTCTCTCCAGCATTCCACTGAAGATCTCCCCTAAAATCAAGCATGCAAAATACACAAAAAACACACTAATCAGAAAAGAATGGTGTGTGATTCCTGAGATACTTTTATTTGGGGTTAAAAGCAGTCGGTTTGAGTCCAGTGATAACCAAGAACACAGGTTAAAACTGGTAGAAGATGCTTAACATATTGTATCTAAGAAAGCTTCAAAGCATTTGACAAAAAATAATTTAGAGTTTGGACCTCAATGATAACAGGAATTTTCTATTACTTCTTTTTTTTTTAATTTAAATTCTTTATTCTTGAAAGTATTACATAAGTCTTCATTTTTTTCTCCACTCCCCTATCACTTCTAATAGAAAAACATGCCACAGATTTAACTGTATCCTTCACTGGTTATAAAAAATACTAAATAACTGTATCATAAATGCTATATGCCAACACTTTGTTGAATTTCAGGTGCATCTATGATGTCCCTTTCTGGATCAACAGAAGATTTCACACAACTATATCATAACTACAATCTGCATTACAATGAGTGTAAGATACCATCCTATATAATAAAAGGGTAATATGCAAATTAACCCTAACGACAGAACAATCAGAATGACCGCTGGACCAGTCACTATGAGGTGCACTGACCACCTCTTGGTCCCTTTCCCTGGCCAGCAGGCTCTGCTCACCTGATAGTGAATAGGGAATTGGGGGTGGGGGGTGGGGGACATGGGCAGTGCCAGGCCAAGGCCCCTGCCTTGCTGGTGCGCCATACACGGGGGTGAACTGCAGCAGGGGCGGGGCCAGTGAGTGGGCAGGAACAGCCTACCTCTCGGTCCCTTCCCCTATCCATCAGGCACTGATCACCTGATGGCAAATGGGGAACAAAAGGAGGAGGTGGGGGGGCGGGGCCAGCTGTGGGCAACAGGGGAAGATGGTGCTGATCACAGGCCAGGCCTAGGGACCATACCTATGCACAAATTTCATGCACCGAGCCTCTAGTATATTGTAAAATGGATTCCAATTTCAGATGATGAAATATGCATCTAAAAAACACTATCATTCTTACTATCCTTCCTTAAAATTGATCCTCCACGAGAGACTTAAAAATCAATGTTAGCTAGGAATATTGTAATGAATCTAGAATTTAAAGTTATGAAAGTATTCAAGCCACAGTTCCCCAGTATTTCTAGACTAGAAGTCCTGTGCACGAAATTTGTGTACTGGTAGGGTCCCCAGAGGTTGCTGAATGCTGGCCTGGGTCTCCTTCCCTTCCCCTGGCTAGCCCTGCTCCCTGCTCAAATTCCTGGACAAACTCCTGGTGGAAGGGACAATTTGTATATTATGCTTTTATTATATTGGATAAAAGTTCATGACAACATTGAAGGCTAAAATATATTATTCCTTTTCATTGTCATAGCTAAGAGTTTGGATGTTCCAGCAGAAAACAACAAAAACAAAAACCCAGAATAAAATAAAAACCAATTCTGAAATTACTTAGCCTGAGAATGAGTAATTACTTTAATGAGAACAACATTTGATAGTCTCAAATAGGTACAAATACACTGTCTCAACAAAACCAGATAGTTTAAAAAGCACTTACTTTTTGGATGTGGTGCCAGAAATCCCAAGATCTGTAAATGGATAAAAGAAAAAAGAATTTAAAACTCTATACTCAGCTTAAATGACATGACATTTAAAAGATCAAAGACTCAGAGGTCTAGAAAACGTCCATATTTTGCCTAGGAATGACTACATTCAGTTTTGCAAAGGAGAAACTATGTCAGGAAACATTCACAAATCTAACATTTTCTTTTACTTTACATTATACTTAAGGGTCGTATTTTAATGTCTATTCGTGTTCAGAAAAAGGAGTAAACATAGCAGGCGTGAGTCTGCTATCTTAGAAAGGTCTATGTGGCTGGCATCTGGGAACCTCGCTAGTAAATTATTCTCTACATTGAGATAAAACTTTGCCTAATGATAAGAGTGGCTTGCTGTGCCTAAACCATACAAACAATGTGGTTATGCTGAACACCTGCTTTCCTTCTTAGAGACGAAACTCTAGCACATGATCAGCATCCAAGAAAAATCCTGGGTGCTGAGTCTCTGGAGGGCTTCCTTGGGCAAAAACATCACACACGTGGCCACATTTCTGTATGCCTTTCCCCTCCTAGGAATGAGAGAGCATAAGGAAGTCTGAGCATGGATTCCTCCAGACTCTGCCTGTGTCTTTTCCCCGATGATCCAGCTGTGCATCCTTATGAGCTCTTGTAATAAATCTTAATTGTGAGAACAGACATGTGCTGAGTCTCCCGAGTCCTTCCAGTGAATCAGTGAATGTGAGGGTCGTCTTGAGGATCCTGACACAACCAGCTTTCTCATTCTCGTTCTGCTCTATCTCAGTTCATTTATTATGTCAGCCCCTATCTATATATCAGACACTGTTCTAAGTGCTTTGGGTTATGTTGGTGAAGGGAAAAAATAAATCCCAATCCCGGAGAATTTACATTCTAATGGGGTGATATGGATGACAAAACAACATGCACAAAAGACTAAAAAAGTAAATTATGGAGGCAGTCAGAAGGTAAAATGGAAAGCCAATTGAAACATGAGAAGGAAGAGCGGGATCTGGTGGCAAGGATGAGAGTGAGGGCAGGCAGTGTGAAACAGGATGCTCAAGGAAGGCCTCGTGGAGAAGGTGAGACTTGGGCAAAGCTGAGCAGAGATTTCGGGAGGAGCTTTCTAGGCTGTCACATGGTGCACTGACTGCCTAGTGGTTACTCGAGGTTTAAGATTTCGAGAAACTGCCAAACTTCTTTCCACAGCAGCTGCCCAATGTTGCTTTCTCACCAGCAATGCTAGAGTTTCAAGTTCTCCACATCCTCATAGGCACTCGTTATCATGTCTCTTTTATTATAGACAATCTAATGGGTGTGAAGTGATATCTCATTGTGGTATTGATATGCGTTCCATAGATGGCTAATGTTGAACATCTTTTCATGTACCAAGTGGCCATATACTTTTTGGATAAATGTTTAAGTCATTTGACTCTTTTTAAATTGGGTTATTTGTCTTTACAATGTTGAGGTGTAGAGTTCTTTATTCATTTTGAATAAAAGTCCCTTATGAGATGTTTTCTCCCATTCTATTGATTGTTTTTCACTTTATTGATGATAGCACATGTAGCCCTAGCTATCTATTTTTTTTTTTCTGTTGTTGCTTGTGCTGCTGGTGTCATATCTAAGAACAAGGTTATAAAGATTTATTCATACATTTTCTTCTGAAAATTTTATAGTTTTGGCTCCTACATGTAATCTATGATCCATTTTGAATTACTTATTAAGAACTACAAGACTGTTTCCAAAATGGCTGCATCATGTATATCCCTATCAGCAGTGGTTGAGAGTTCTAATTTCCCTACATCCTAGCTGACACTTACTACTCTCTTTTTGATTATAGCATTCCCAGTGATGTGAAGTGGTCTGTCAGTGTGGTTTTGATTTGTATTTCCCTGATGACTAATGATGTTCAACATCTATTCATATACTTGTGGGCCACTGTGTATCATTTTTGAAGAAATGATTATTCAAATCCTTTGCCAATTTAAAAATTATTTGTCTTATTACTGAATTGTAAGAATTCTTTAATGTTATAGATACAAGTACCATATAAGATATATAACTTGGAAATACTTTCATTATGTGGGTTGTTTTTTCACTTTCTTAATGGTATCATTCATAACAAAAGTTTTTAATTTTGATTCATTCTTATTAATTTGTTTTTATTTGATTGACTATTTTTGGTATTATATCTAAATAAGTCACTGCCTAATCCTAACATACCTATATTTTTTCTCTAAGAGTTTTATCTCTTATATTTAGGTCTTTGATTAATTTTGAATTGATTTTTATGGATGTATAATGAAGAGGCCTAACTTCAGTCTTTTGCATGTGGCTATCCATTTGACTTGCATGTTGTTTGAATAGAGTATCTTTTCCTATTCTGAATGGTCCTGCAAACCTAGAAAACCATTTAACGTTGTATGTGAAGTTTATTTCTGGGCTTTTACTTCTATACTATTGGTCTATTTTTCTATGTCTATATTGTACCACTTGTCCTGATTATTATAGCTTTGTAGAAGTTCTAATAGTAAAAAGTGTGCTTCAAATTTATCAAGGTTGTTTGGCTATTGGTAGAGATAAATATCAAAGGTGGTAGCATCTATGGGCTGTGTGCTGAGGTAAAAATCCTCTATTTCTGAAGGAGGGTCTGGGTAGTACATTATAGTGTCCAGCAAAAGCAGTTAGCACTGCAGACTATCCATCAGTGAGATAATATTTTAGAGTAGGAAGAAATACTAAAGCAATTTCTCCATGGCTGTCATCAAAGCATTTTCATGGATGCCCAGACTGAGGATTATGAGTGGAAAACAAAAGCATATCCATAGAGTAATGGATAGAAAAAATTGTGTATAAATAATATGCTAAACTTCTGATATAGCTTCAAGTGAAATAAAAGGTATTTGCAATGTTAACCTCATTCACCGTAATAAAAAAATCAAATTCAGAATTGAAATAAAAGGCCATTCTTTATTTTATCAGATCTGCCCTCACCTCCTAAGACTCTTTCACGTACCTTGCTCCAGCCACAGTCTCCTTGATGTTCCTTAAATATGCCAGGCAATCTTCTGCCCAAGGTTTTGGCACTGTTTGTCTTCTTAGCCTGTACATGTTCTCTTTTCAGATAGCCATATAGTTCGTCCCTCTACCTTCAAATCTTTCATCAGATTTTACATTCTCAGTGAGGCCTACTTCTCACCCCACTCTGTGTCATTCCTTATCCCTCTTTGTTCTGTTTTCCCCCTATGGCACTTATGACCTAACACACTATAGAATTTATTAATTTGAAAATGTTTAATGTTTGTCTTTGCCCTTTCAGAGCACCATAATAACAGAAATTTATACCTTTTTTGATCACTAATTTTATACCTAGGGCATGGAAGAATGCCCAGTATTCAATAAATAGTGTTTGTTGAACGAATAACTGACCTTCCCAGAAACTATACTGGATAAAGCACTAAGAATTTCTTCCCACTCCTTAATATACTCACCCACAAGTGAATCCAGAAAAAAATACACAGGGAAAGACAGAGGGGGAAATCACACATGATTCAGTTAAATAAAACTGTATTACTCACTGCCTACTAAGCTGGCAAGAGATGAGTCAAGATCGCTCCCAAGGGGTTTGCTTGCTGCCACTGCAGGACTAGGAGGTGCCATCGAGATGGGTGCAGGCTGCCCCGTTGGTGCCATGGTTGGCATCAGAAGGTCACCTAGACCATCAAACACTGAAAACCAAATGGACCAGGTTCAGAATAATTGGGAAAAAAATAGGTCATATAGAAAATTAAAGGAAAAACTGTCTTAAAAAAAACACAAAACTATGGAAACAAGTGAATATACAATCTTATAAAAGAAGACTTGTAATTCACACTTATCATGACCATAACGCCAAAAAGAACATCTCTACATAAGTCTACTCATAAAGTATGGAAATACTAACGGACATGAACAAAGATGGAAAACAATGTATGTAATGTACAGGAAAGAGCACAAACTTTGGAGTCAGAACTGAGCTCAAACTCAGCTGCATGCCTCACTAGCTGTATGCCTTTGAGAAAGTTACTGCTTGAGCTTTGGTTTCCTCATCTGTAAGTGGGGAGAGTATCACTACTACTACATGGCTTTGTTGTGAAGATTAAATTAGATTATATATGTCATGTCTTCATTATAACATTTGCTGTACACAGGCACTCAGTAATTGGTAGCCACGGTTACTCATTAAAAGCTATCAATAAAACATGTTTTATTAAAAATGGTAGTGATTTACCAAAGCCTAAATGGTTTACTCTAAAGTTCTACAATGTTTACTTTTAAAAAAAAATATTTGTTGAAAGTATTACATAAACAACTAAAAACAATTCTTAAATGAGAAAAGAAGACCGAATCTCTTAGTTCCCTATGAAATCCGTGTCAAAATAAAACCTGATCTAATGGTCAATACCTACTAATAAGTATCTGAAAAACAGTTGACCATATTTTAGAAGTAAGAATTTTAATTTTTTTTCTCCAGTGTAGCAATCACTTTTGGTTCTAACTTTAAGGGAATATTTAAAGTAAACACTATATCAGTAATAGAAACGATGCCATTATTGATGGTTCATGATTACCATGTAACTAATTACTACTTGTCTAGTTCCTAGAATACAAGAAGACTTAAATGCAGACTCATAGGATTTGCATAAGTTATTGCTAATATCCATGTCAAAGATTTTGTGGTTACTTTTTATAAAAAAAACTATGCATATTTACAATACATATTACTATACAATGATTCTAAATTAAAAAAGAAGAGCATTCAACTAGGCACTGGCAATGGAAGCAACCAAATTGTCAGGCAGGGCATATATTTAGGGTGTTTCTGAAACACATTTAATTGCCAAAAACTCACCAATTGAAAATTTGTAGTAAGGACCCAGCATGGGAAGAGTAGAATGGAAGAGAATACAAACAAAATGACAGCAGGATGAAAGGTTAAAGGCAGGCAAAGAATACTGTCTCAACTTCAAAAAACCAAGAACTATGAAAGCTTCAGAGAGGGTAAGCAACAGCAGGGGGAGTGTCCACACATTCTATACTGTACAAAGATCTAGTACAGAGTACTTGTTTTCCTTTAACCGTCTCTAAACGGTGTGCCTGTAAGCTCATGCAATAGAGGGTGTGCGTGTTAAGTTAGATTTCTGCAAAAAAATTAAAAACAAAAACACAGAAAGGAATTAAAGATTATTCTTAAAGCCACCAAAATGTACTGAAAATATTTACTTGAGTTACTGAATTTCTTTATTGAACCGTTTTTTAAAATAAGGTCACCACTCAGTACTGGGTAGACATTTCCTGATTATCATATGAACCTTAGGTGGTTTATTTTAATAATCAGAACGAACTAAGAGAATGTTTGAAAACCACTGTCTCACCTGATGGGTCAAAGGAGCTGCTGCTAGAAGTTGAAGGCGTTGTTCCAAAAGCTGCATCAAAGTTGGGCTGCAGCAGGTTGTTCTGGGCTGGGGTCACTGGTGTTGGAGAAGGGGCCATGAAAGAACCCCCGAATCCTAGGAAAAAGTTCCAGAAAACATATAAGCAGAAGCAACTAAACATTAGCAAAGGCCATAAAAACAGAGTCAGAAAAGGTTATAGAAGACTGAAAGGAATTGAACGCATGTAGATGAGAGAAGTCAATGGCACCTGGGAAGTTATAGGTTTTTATAAGTATTTCAAGTATTTTGACATCTGCTATGTATTAATGAGAGGTTTCAGTTAACTGGAAACAAGATAGCATGTAAGAATAAATACCTTTGTTAAGAGAATCCACAGCAACTAAATCTATGATTACAGTAGAGCACATACAGCTAAGAGGGTCTCACCAAATTTAAAATTCAGGTAATTATTTTCATTATATTTAAACTTTGGTTCTTCAAATCACAACACTAGGTAGTTGGAAAATGCTTAGTTGTACACATTGAACTAGTATAATCCTATATAATAAGAGAGGAATATGCTAATTATCCCTTATGCTGTGAGGCATAACGACTCTGATCACGGATCTGCAGGAGGGTGGAGCAGCGAACTACAAGCAGGCAGGCAGTGAGAGCTACAGGAGCAGGCAAGGCAGTAAGCTATGGTGGGGTATGGGGAGAGAAAAGGGGAGTGAGGGAAGCCACAGGAGGAAGCAGGTGGAGAGCTATAGGAGGGCAGCAGTGAGTTACTGGCTACAAGCAAGTGGTGGAGAGCTACAGGAGGGAGCAGGCAGCAAGCTATGAGGGGTTGGGGAGAAGGGGGTGAGGGTGAGGAAAGCTACTGGAGGGTGGCAGTGAACTACTGGCGAGCTACTGGTGCACGGATTAGTGCGCAGGGCTACTAGTAATAAAATGAAATCAGAAAAATATGCGTGCATTCTTTCTGCCACCAAATCCGTTCTAATATCTTTCATATGTGCTAGTCCCCTTGTTCCTACTGCCAAGTGAAGGCTCTCCCAACACTGCTCTCAGGATTCATAAAGTCGCCCAGGGGGGCTTCTCATTTGGGCTTCCTCCAGCCTAGTCTCAGCAGTGCAGCCTGGGTGATTTTTCTGAGTGGAAAATGTTGACAAAGTTACTTGCCTAAAATCTTTCCCTGGAGTCACATAACTTTCAGATTCATAGAGTGCAGATTCCTTTGCAAAGCAATCAAGCTCTTCTGGCTCTGGTTCCCTCTCCATCTCCGCAAACTAAGTTGCTGCTTTTTGCATCATCATTGTGAGTCAGATGCCTGCTCTGGGAGGGCTTCCTAGCCTTAAACTGTTATCAGCCACAACTACCCCATCCTGCCCTCCCCTCGTACATTTGTGCCCTCCCCAAGCCCCTTCATAATTCTTTATTCTCACCCCCAGACCCACCCACCCACCCCAGGGGTGGCCTTTTGATGTCAAGAACTGAGTCTTCTTTTCTCACCTTTTCTATTAATAGTCAGACAATGCCCGAAACACTGCATTAATGTTTACGGAGTGCAGGAAACACTTCTGAATATAAAAGGCGAGGAGAAATCAGACTATTATAAAATAAGGAAACCTCAAATTAAGTATTTTATCTTTTGACCAATAGAAGCAAGTCATTTCTCTCCACTCCAGACAAAAGCAGAAGCAGAGCTTATCTGTACAAAAATATGCAACCTGTGAAAGAAGTGATTTCTTAGTAAGAGCTGAGTTGATCCCTGTTATCAAAGAATTTATTACTACCAGGAGTTTTTTTTTAAAAATATATTTTATTGATTTTTTTACAGAGAGGAAGAGAGAGGGATAGAGAGCTAGAAACATCAATGAGAGAGAAACATCGATCAGCTGCATCCTGCACACTGCCCACCGGGGATGTGCCCGCAACCAATGTACATGCCCTTGACCAGAATCGAACCTGGGACCTTTCAGTCCACAGACTGACGCTCTATCCACTGAGCCAAGCCGGTTTTGGCACTACCAGGAGTTTTTTTAATACTCAGTTTGTGTGTGTGTGTGTGTGTGTGTGTGTGTGTGTGTGTGTGTATATATATATATATATATATATATATATATATATATATATTCCTTTCCCATCTAGCCATATCTGCTCTTCTTCAGAAACACTTACGAAAAAAAAAAAATCAGAAATGGTAAAAAAAAAAAAATCCTTAAGCTTGCATTCCATTCCATAAAATCAATTTATAAGTTTGAAAATGGTTCCCATTGAAATTCTTTGGTTACTGTTTTCTAAAGCAGGCAATACTGTGTAAGTCATGTTGCTCCTTGAAATTGATATGGATTTGGGCTTAAGCTTTCCTTGTATATGCATAAAAAATTGTAATTTGGAAAATTATTACCTATTAGAAGGTGGTTTTTAAAGTTCACTTTAAGTAATTTTAGTATATGAGTGACATAAGCATCATGGAACTTTCCTAACTGAAGAAAAGACATTCTTTATATTTTCAAGAACTAATATCAGTCTGAAGCAAAGATAGGCCAATAGGAATTGTCTTTATGGATGTGACCATTTGGTCTTAGGAAGGCAGGCTGTGTTAATGCTGACATTTTAGAAACCTCGCCCACCTCAAAGTTGGGATATGACTGTGCTCACTAGGCAACTTTTCTATGAGGTGCTGCTTCTTGTGACAGGTGAATGTGGAGACAATTGTACCGAATGCCCAGCTTCTTAAAACATGGCCAAGGAAAGACAATATATTCTAGAATCATTTTAGTGCTGGGAAGGGGCTTAATATCATCTGATTCAATCCTATCGTTCCATGGCTGGAAGAAACAGTGCAAGAGAAGTTAACACAACTACCCAGGATTAAGTAGTAGAAAGAGAAAAAATGTCTGCTTAGTACTACTAAACTTTGTAAGATAAGTAGGTTTTCTCCATTGGTAAATAAATAACACTATTTATTTATTAATAGTGTTATTTATTGGTAAATAAATAACACTATTAATAAATAACAAGAAAAGTAACAGTGCCTTCTCTAAGACATTGAAGGGTACAGCCAAACTGGCATGAGGTTCACCAAGTGCCGGCCACTGTTTTATGCATTAATTAGGGTGAACCACATGCATTTCCTATAGTTGACCATGTAGGTCCTACAACAGCAGAAATTTTATGTTGTTCAACCTAAAACATACTTTGGCTAATTCAATCCTAACACCAACCCCAGGAAGTTCCACAGATGAGGGAACTAAGGCCAGAGAGGTTAAGTAATTTGCCCAAGGGCAAATGATGGCAAATGCAGAGCCAGTATTCCACACAGGACTCTTCCAGATACTCATTCATAATAATACCACACAGCCTCTTTCCCACAGCCAGGAGTAATGCCAGACTTGTACCTTCCTACAGATTTATAAATTTGACAAAGATCTGGAAAGATGACTTCCTCCATCATACTCAGTTCTTATGAAGTAGGTGGCCTCACCGACCTAGATTAATTAAAAAAGTACAGAGTGACATAAAATAATGAACTGATTATCTTAAAGAAAAAAATCTATTGCTATACTCTTAATAAAGAGCTAAAAAAGAAAATTATAGACATTAGTAAGAAGTTTGGAGAACTTCTGTTAAGTGAAAAGTTTTAGAACCCAGAAATAGAAGCTAATAATAAATAAACTGAAACCACTAATATTTCTTTCAATGTGGTTATAAATTACATTAAGAATATAGGTATTATATGGAATTGAAAATAAGGTAGTAATCAGTAGGCTTCTGAATGTCCTGCAGGCATATTTGAACTTTCCTGCACTATAACTGGATTGCTCAACCATCCATAGACTCACTTGCCTTTTATCTCAAATGATTAGTCTTACAAATGTGTCTTTCTCAAAGGAAACAGCCTATGCACTTAATGAAGGCTTATTAATACAGACATATCCAAAGTCATCATATTATTTGGGTCAAGTGAAAATTTAAAACTATTGGTAGTTCAACACACTCTCACACATAATCTTCTCACCCACATTTGCTCCATTATGTTAAAGATATCATTTCAATTATTCTCAGTGGTACAACCAGTTCTTAACATATCCCATTTATTAAGATCAATCTGAGTTAGTCAATATTGCTAAGAATAATAGCCTGAGACATTCTGTCTGACACTTTCAGACTGTTTTCCAGCTCCACAGAGGATGAAAGTATTGGCTCTCTGTAGGCCTTCCCATTTAGTGAAAATTGTTAAGTTATTAATTCAACACTGAACATTTTTATATTTTTAATCCATTCAAGGACTTCTATGACTTTGCTAAAAAAGTAATTTGTGTCTTGTAGTTAGCAGAGAATGTAAAACTACAAAGAGCCTTATTAGGCTGGTTCCTATCTTCCCCGCTTTTGGAATTAAAGATAGGCTGTGACACATTCCTTTATTAGCACAGACTTATGGTGCAGTCACCTCAGAATGGTGTCTGTTAGGGGAGAGTATGGTTTTCCTGCTTGATGTCAACCTCAGAAGTTAGGCATATCCTCTAACACACCTAATCTCCCTTAATAATTCATTTTTACATCCACCATCCAGGAATCTGTCTGTTTCTTTCAAATCTCTATATTTTCAGCTGGTCTATACTGAGAGAAGTTTGCCAGCTTTATTCTTCACTGTGTAAAATAATATTAACCTTTATTTGTTAAAAATTTAACTCTCAAGTTTCCAGCCAGACTCCATAAGAGATATGCATAATATCAGCATCCTATCAGTAATCTCAATGACTTGAAGAGAATATCCAGAGAGAAAGAAGGACTTCCTGCAATTCTGCAAAAATCCAGAACATTTGATCTTATTCATGCATTTCAAACTTAATTATAACTTCAAAGCAAACATTTGTAATTACTGATCTCATTTTAAAATGAACAAGTCCATTTCCCCTCAAATAGCATTTAAAATTATGCTGTTTCTGCAGCCTGTTAAAATCTTATTGCTACAGTATAGCTTGTGCTAACTAAAAACATATTATTCCATTTACAGCCTGTTAAATATCTGAATTAAGTGTACTGGTTTAGCTAGAGCTTAAAGTTTCTGTGACTTTGCAGCTGCTATGAAGAATATCTGGACCAGGAGAAAAGTCAGATAAGCTAGTATTTTTTTTCCTCCTACCAAGAAACCAGTTGTGGTCTGTGTTAAATGTATGGCCTCTTGTCATATCTGCAACTTTCCAAGTGGAATCGGCAAATAGGAACGCCTTGTTTGCAGGGAAAGACGGGAAAGACATAAAGAATGCCATTGCCCCTGGGAAAGATGATTGAATGTCCAGTTTGAATTACTGATGGAAGGGGAAGGTCAAGAGTGGGGCTGCAATAACCCATGCTGCCTCTTGAGGAAATACTCTACTAATCCAAGAATGAATGTTCCCTTTTATATTCGGTGTTAGGATTCATATTACACTCTAAAATGAAAGCCAGTCACTACCTATCAAAGGCTACATGGCTAGCAGAGAATTTAAGCTGAGAGACTCTGGACATGGTGGTTTCCCTGTGTTTATGGGACCTACATTCTCACCAGCTCCTCACCAACATTCTGACCAAAATGCATCCCTTTTGGTGACAGGGAAGGGACAGAGGAAGTTGCTTCTTGGTATCTGAGTCCTTTGTAATGCTGCTGCTGTGCTTCCTACATGTACCCTTCTAAGTGAAGTCAGTGTCCTGTGAGTTGATGACCAGAACCCCAAACTCACTTTTGTGGTCTTGTAACTGGCAAGTGCTTTGCCTGTAAAAATCATAATGTGTAGGTCTTGCTATCATTAAGCACACTTTGCCTTGCCCCAAAGGAAGACAACAGTGGGCTTTTACTGTCTTGGAGTCCTTAATATGTTTCCTTTTAGTCTATCTGTCCCATCGTAGCAATAAGCAATAATTCTAGGCATCTTGTACTAATCTATTCCACAACATAGTCCTGTTGAACTGGGATTACTCCAGGGGTTTACAGATAAAAAATAATGATCCACTTGTTAAAAGGTAGAAACAGCTTCAACCCAATGGTAGAAATCTGTGAGTTTCTCCTAGTGTGATTCATATATTATAGAATCAATGATCAAACATAAGCATATTTAAAAAATATTTTTATTGATTTTAGAAAGGAATGGAGAGAAAAAGAGGGTGAGGGAGAGGGAGAGAGACATTGATTTTTTGTTCCACTTATTTATGCACTCATTGGTTGACTTCTGTCTGCGCCCTGACAGGGGATGGAACCCACAGTCTTGGCCTATTAGAATGATGCTCTGACCAACTGAGCTATCTAGCCAGAGCTTAAAACATAAGCCTATTACTTCTAAAGTAAGCAAAATAAAATGTGCTAACTAAAAGTAAGGCAGTTTAGAAGCACCCACGGAGCCACAGTGGTGGCTGGTATACAAATGTGATTTTAAGACTAAATTCATAAAATTCTGGGAAATAACCTTCAATTACATAATGTCTTGTTTTTCAATTTCATGTCTCAAAGAAAACATGCACCTTAAAATTTATATAATAGCTATTACTTATAAAAAATATATCTTAACTTCGCAAAATACCATTTTATTTTAATTTAATTACCAGCTAGTAGGTCTGCCGATGCTGACGAACTAGAAGCAGCCTGAGGTGCAGGTTGGGGTTCAGAAGCACTAGTTCCAAATGCATCTACCCATTATCCATTATGCAGCAAAAAAGTAAAAGAGTGTAAACGGTAAGTACAGTGAGTAATTGAAGTGTTTTGCAGATAAATGCATAGATATGGAGCTTTGTACTGTGAGCTAGTTGCCTATGAATATGTGAAATGACAGTGAATTGAATTATGCTCTGATAATTTTATTCTCTCTCTCAAAAAAGAAGTTTATAATAGTTAAGAATTAACGCCTTTGTAACAGTAAGATAACTTTTTCAAGGATAAAACTTTTAGACTAAATCCTGTCATTTATCAAAATAGGATCAAAGTGTTAAGAATTTTGTCCAAAGGTAATAAAATACAAAATTTCCATTTATAACTCTATTAAACTTTTAAAAAAATTTAAACAAACAGTTCAAACAACAGCCCTCTTATACACATATGTCAAGATTTCATGTTTATTTGCCACAATTTTTTGAGCTTCTGAATGTCAGAAACTGTGACATCCTTGCACCCTCATGTACCCTACCCATCGTGGCCCACAGAGTACTCAGTGTGGGCTTAACTTGCTACAGATAATGTTTCAGACAGTAAATACACACTTATGAATATTCATGAAGAAATCACTTCTATCCTGCATTTTTTTTCTCCTTGTAAATTTACTGCTAACAGAAGACTTTAAATATATCATCCAAAGAAGTAATTCAGGATTAATCCAGCACATTTTCTTGCTTTAAATAGCATATACAGGAAGAGAAAAATACATTTAAATCAGTGAAATACCTTCCAATTCTTTGGAAGGATTTTAAAACATTAAGCTCAATATAAGTAAACTCTACAAAATAACGTATAACATCTAGAACTTCTATGTTCAATTTTGACTGGCTTATTTGTGTTTTCAATTCTGAATTTCATTCATTTTTATATTGCCTTTAAGAACTTAGAAATGTTGCTTTAGCCAACAGATCAGGATTGCCAGGGAAGAACAGTAGAAAGAAATTCAAATGAGCTGATTCTACATAAAGATGAACGAAAAGTCAAAAAACAATCATCTAGAGTAGTTAGGCCATGCACGGGAAATTATGAACTGATGAGGTTGAAGACGATGCAAAGAAATGCAAAGATCTTAAAAACTGGAGTTTACATTCAAGAGATGGCGATGACGTCACATGGTAAAAAAACAAAAAAAATGAAAGAGAGGATCTACAGACTATGATGAGGAGAAAACAAGACTCCGTTCAGTGTGGAAGGAGGAGAGATACGCACCCCCGAAAAGGTCTATCACACCTGAGGAGTCCACCTTTGCTGGAGAGGCAGTGGTTGCAGGAGCCGGTGATGCAAATGTGTCCACTGCAGTGAAGCACACAACAGGAAACAGTGCACGTCACCCAGAGGAAAACGAGACCAGGAGCCCGGACAAACGGCTTCTGGAGATTTCACGTGTAACAGCAGGCGGCACAATGCGGACAGTCTTGACAGTTAAGGGAAAGCAAATGGATCTAACAATACACACTTTCCCGAAGAAAATACAATTGGACATCTTGAGGTCAGAGGTCATAGTGTAAAAAAAACAACAACAACGTTTTGTCTTTTCATTGCCTTACATTTGAAATATTAACCTTCCTCAGTTGGTGGCAGGCCAAAGAATGAGATTTTAAATAGTGATTTATTTTTTTAATTTTTTTTTTTTTTTGGTGAAGAGGACCCAAGACAAACTGCACTCTTTCCTATGGCCCACTCCACACAGGACCCCCGCAGGACAGCTGACGGCGTGACGTGGGCACAAGGAAGACTCACCGGATAAGAGGTCAGCGGTGAGAGAGCTCTCAGGCACAGGAGAGGCCCCTTGTGGTGGAGAGGAGAAAGCATCTTTCGAGAGAGGGAAACAAACCAAAACCAAGCAGAAGTAAGTAGGAGTCTGCAATGGAAGCCAAACATCTAACAAATGCATTCCCACAGGAGAGGAGGACAAGGGGCTCAGTCACCCACACAGTTGGGAAGACGCACGGGGAAGAGAGGGGCGGCTGAGGCTTTACCTGTACCGAACAGGTCTATGCTAGGAGCAGCATCCGGCTTGGGCGCTGCTGCAGCAGCGACGTCGGGAGCAGACTCAAACAGATCTAAGACCAAGAACACACATGCCTTTACTCAGCTGGAGGGGCCAGCCTGGAACAGCATCCCTGTCCAGTTCTGACGTGAGCAGGCTGGGGGATTCTGACATACGCAGCACATGGTTTCTTAGAGAACCATGCAGGTGCCAAGTGTTCATGCAGTGATACAGTTGTGGATGCAAGTCTATCGCAAGTACCAACCAGCATTCACTCCACCAGATGTAATGGGCTCAATGACAAGAACAAAAAAATTACCACCAAAGATATCTAGAGCAGGAGGAGCGGTGGTGGTGGTGGTGGTGGCGGTGGCGGAGGTGGCGGCGGCGGCGGCGGCGGCGGCGGCGGGAGCAGCGGCGGGAGCAGCCGTGGCCGCTGCGATGGCGGGAGCAGGAGAAGGAGCAGTGGCAGGAACCGGAGGGGCTGTGCTAGCTGTAGGGGTAACTACAGGAACACTGGTCTCAGGTGGCTTCATGGCAAAGAGGTCCAGCTCGGGCGCAGCCTCTGCACTACCTTCCGATGGGGCAAAGGGGTCTTTCGGGGAAGGAAAGTGGAGACACATACAGCATCAGTTATAAGGACAGAGACGAGAGACTGCATCACAGCTATGGTCAGTGACACCTGACACGGATATGTACCCACTAGCTAGGCACTCATTAGGCTGCTTGGACTAAACTGCTGCCCTAATTAGCAGGGGTCAGTGATGAGGATGTTTTTCTAAAGAAAAATAATAATAATAATAATAAAAAGAACATTTAGCAGGTACCGCAAGTTAAGAAACTGAAACACATCAAGGTGCTTGTAAGATTGGCCTACGGTCTAGCATCAGAGATGGTTAATTCTTCAAATCCATACTTAACCCGGTAGCTTTGGAAAATACATGAAAACATGCCTATATATTTGAACTCTCTGTTGCAGAAGAGTCGCAATATAGCATTAGAGAATTAAAAAAAAACAAACAAACATTAAGAGAGCATACTTGCCCTGATAAAAATTGTCAATCTTGAGAAATTGTCAATTTGGATAAGTATGCCCTTCGTTGTCTTAATGTTTTAAGTGCCGGCATTAATCTCGTCAGCTTTGATGAAGGACACTTTTTACTCGGAAAGAAGTAAACTCAGGAACCCACATGGCCCCACCTAACTACGGCAGTTTCCCATGAGGACAGAAAAACAACAGACGGGCTCGGACTGGAAACCCACCATTTCCTGAACATGCATCAAGTGCCGCGGCTACCGGGGTGGGGGTGGCGGCGGCGGCCCCCTCGGATGCTGCAGGGGCCTCCCCGGGAGAAGCTGCAAAGGCATCTTGGGTGCAGCGTTTAAAACAGCGGAAATTAAAGGAACAAAAAAAGAGAAGAAATATAGTAAAAGAACCACGTTACATTGCGAAGAAGGCTCCCTTATACAACATGAGTTTCTTAAAACGCGTTTTCACGGCCCATGCACGGTGGGTGGTCACAAAACAACTCTTTGCGCCCCTTCACGTTGGTTTACATGCACGTGGTACAGTTAATCGATACTGGGAGGCCTACCAGGACCCAGCAGGTCACAGGATTCCCATTGTATAAGGGCTCGGAGAAGCATGTTTTATGCATCACTAGAAACCAATGGATGTGAAAATTAAAACAAAAATAACTTTATTCTGTAACTTAAGACATTGCACTTGGATGTCCAGGGGCCACTTATTCACTACATCCCTGTGAGGTCGTTAGTGGTTTCTTCTAAGTGTGGATGCCTTCTTTAATGCCAATACATTGAAATCTACAGCGGTAATGTGAAGCAGTTCTAGTTAAAAAAAATTTTTTTATAGTCTAGTACAGGAGAAATTATACTGTTACTATAAGAAGTTTACAAAGTATTCATTTAAGTTAGGTCTTCATAACCACTGGAAAGCATTTTCAGATACAACCAAGGACTTGTTTTAAAGAAATAAGGAAATAATAAAGTTAGGGGATGGCACCATAATGCCTTTATTTTCACTTAAATTTTTTTGTTGTTTTCAAAAAAATTTAAGTGAAAATTTTGTTGTATTGCTCTAGTTGTTTGGAAAATAATCTACATTTAATAGATTAAAATATAGTGTCAGGTTTTAAGAATATGTGTTCTTACTATTTAGAGTTAGAAAATCCATTAAAACACAGGCAGACTCAGTTTATAAATGTCTAATTTATAAATTGTTGATGGCTCCCAATGTGTGTTGCTCCTTCCTTCCTCCCTTCCTTCCTTCCTTCCTTCCTTCCTTCCTTCCTTCCTTCCTTCCTTCCTTCCTTCCTTTTCTTTTTTTCTTTCTTTCTTCTTTTCCTACCTTCCCTCTTTCCTTTTTTTTTTTTTTTTTTTTGCCAACAGATGATGTTAGTTATAGTAAAAAAAAAAAAAAAAAAAAAAAAAAAAAAAGGGCACCAACACCCTCTAGAACCCGTTTCTTACAGGCACCTTCCCAGCTTAACACACTGCCTTCCCCACCGACCAGAGTTCCCCAGACTCCGCTCTTTTGGCCATGAAGAGGGGTTGTCAGTCACACTTGGGAAACACTGCACAGAGATTTGTGTAGTGTATTAGGCTATAGGGGATCCTACAGTCAAGGCCCCTCTTTCTCTGTCTATCCCAGCACGTTCCAAAATGACCTGATTGTGAAACCCATTAGCAATCTCTTGAGGCTCAGCATTAGATTAAGTCCTCGAATGAACATTCAATTAGAGACTCTCTTGGCTTAAGAGGTCCTTTACAAACACACAAATATCCCTAGGAGGGACACCAGGACAATCAGTTATTCACGTCTTATTGATCTGTGGGATCTGGTTGCTTCACTCAGCCACACTGAGATCAATGAGGGAGAGGCCAAACAATAATAACGGAGTGTGTATGAAAGATACATGAGGAGACAGGGCACACCTTCTCCGGGTGCCACGTGAAGGATAACAGAGAACGTAGAGCAACATGAAACCCTGAGACAGGGCAGAAGAGCATAAGAAAAGTCTAAGAGGACGTTGGAAGGGCTGAAAACATTTTGTCATGAGTCAGGTCTATCTTCTTTCTTGTTTTTTTTTTTCCCTATAAAACTTGGAGCTCAGGCTAATAAAATGGGAATAGTAGAAACCGTAACAGCAGTCACTGTCCAGTGATATTTATGTGCCAGTCACTGTGCAAATATTTTATGTGCATTATTAAATTTAATTCCTACCTGTCTTGTGATACAGGTTCTACTATCTCCACTTTGCAGATAAGAGAATGCAAGTTAGAGGCTCAATGACTGGACCAAGGTCACTCAACCAGCAAATGACGGAGTCAGGATTTGGCCATGAACTGTCTGACTGCGGTGTGTGTGTCTAACCACTATGCACACTGCTATGAGCTAAGCCGCATCCTACTACATACAATTTCCTCCTGTAAAATGGAATAAACAGCAGTTATATTAGTGTTAGGGGCCAAATAAATATCTGTGTGACTTGCTGGCCTCTTTAATGATTACTTATGTGTAAGTAGGTGGAACCCATATTTATAGCTCTGTCCACAGGAGAGTAAGGTTTTTTTAGTTTGTTTTCCTGGGAGCAAGACATCTCCTTTTAATGCTTCTTTTATTTGGTAAAACTTAATATTATAAACTTAACTCACTCCTATTAAAAGTTCTCTTAAAGACAGAAGCCCAGCTGCTCCAGCCCCTGGCTGTTCAGTCTCCCGGCCCAGGGGAAGGAGAAGGAGATAGGTGAGGAAGACTGCCCAGCCACTGCCTGCTTGTAGTCACCCAGGACCCTGGGCAAGAACTGTGCAGCTGAGCCCCATCAGCCGCAGAACTGTGAGAGATAACATTTCAACGTTGGTTTTTTGTTTTTTTTTTAAATTCTTTTAATACTTAGCTCTCTTTCACGATTAATGTCAACATTATTCTTCCAGTATTGGAAACTAAAGCGATTTCCAATGCAATCACTCTCCCATGTAACCTATCAGCAGTTTAAATCTAATTCTGCCAAGCCTTACCCAGCAAGCTCCTCGCTGACGCGGCTGTAGGCTCGTCTTTTTTTCCTTCTAGCAATCTAGGAAACATTTTCTCTCCAGCTTCCTGTAACGACCTTCCCAAATATGTCTAATAGCTGTCGTTTTCCCCATCCTGAACTCCTCTCCCCATCTTCTCCTGCCACATAAGCCATCTTTAAATCATATAATCCTTCTCAACAGCCCCCGAGTCATCATTCCAGTGCCTCTTCTGCTCTAAGGCCAGCTTGTTAACCAGCGTGCACCAAATGAAAGCAGTTGTGTGAGGTAGGTTCCTTGGGTTCCCAGCCACTGGTTTTGTGCTCCCAGACTACCATCCTCATGAAGGCTTGCTCATTATTTGATACAGGTGATTGACAGAGTACCTTGGTGCTTGTGCAGAGGAATGAGCATCAATATGGCATTCTAGTGCTTAGGAAAACCCTGTTATTACAAACTAACGTGGTGTTGTTAGTGAGGTCTTCATAAATAAAAATGAATGTTTTTAAGGGTGCTGTCTTTTAGTTTTATCAATATCTTTTAAGTTTTACTGAAATTTTTAAACATAGACTCTCAGTGCTCTTATGCATGACCACAGAAAGATTTTTGTTTAAGTTCATAAAAAAATAAAAACATTTAGTAAAACTGTTTCTGAGAAACTTGTTTAATAAGTTATCCTGAGATGACTAAAATATCATGTGGGTATGATCTGAATGTTTAAAAATAATAGACATTTCCTACTTTTCAAACTTGAAATAAAACACATAGAAAATGTAATGCTTCAATATTTCATATCCAAGAAATTAAACAATTGGCCATTTTTCAGAATTAAAATTCTTTAAACTTATTTTTAAAGAAATCTACCTAATACTGCTGTGCATGCTACCTAAAATCTCAAAATGGCATGTTTTAAAGTTGTGTAAACCAAATAACTGGTGTCTACCATTCAAAAGTTCTACCACTTGCCCATTTTAGAGTGACAAGGTTTTTTTTTTTTTTTTTTTTTTTTTTTAATGGCTACATATCATGGCCAGAGAGAGACTATCATTTACATTTTTATTTAAAATCCTATTCCTAAATGTTTCCTTATGAAAGAAATTAAGGAATATCACTGAAAACTGCAAAACAGTGACACATAGAGATTTTGTAGCTGTTAGAAGCCAGATCTACTTACTATGCAGATCAGTAAAAATAACTGATGAGATCTGCAGATGTACCCACCTTTAATCAACCTCTAGCCAGATGACTAGAAAGAATAAAGGTGAAATCAAGGGAGAGCCCCATTCTTCGGCATTAATTTGTACGATTTTCGGTAATACTGGTCATTTATTTACTATTTGTACTAGTCCTTTAAATTTATATCCTAGGGTAGACATAATGGCATTATAAAAGTATTTTCAAACATATATATTTCTCTGCCTGACGAATGTAGTTAAAGCAGAAGAAATGGACCAACACAAATGGCATAATGACACAAAGATTATTTCAAAGAAATATCTTTAGCTCTATTATTCTAGAGAGTCATGAGAGAAGCAAGATGGAATTGATTTTTTAGAGGCAAATAGCTCCTTACACATCGCCTGAAAAACAAAAATCCTAATCGCAAAAGGCACTAAATGCTTAAGCACTACATTGCTATCCATCCCGTCCCTCTTTTCCTTGAAGTTTTTCTGTTACCATTAACCTATGAGAAACTGCCATACCCAACATCAATAATCAGGGCAGGGAAAAGGAGGGCGTGACAACGTTTATTTTATACGTTTAAGCGAACACAAATGTTTGGTCTCCAAATTTATCCAGGCATAACTGAAAAACTTTCTCTAGTGGACGATGCTTTATAATATACTCTTCAAGAGTCTGCAAACCCTCCCTCCTCTGTTTTAAAACAGATTCCTCCTGTAGGAATGGGTGCAGATTCCTTTTTTGAAACAGTGACAATGATGCTGTCTCGTGGAATGCTCCTTGTCTCAGACAATGCTGGCAAGCCTCAGAGACTGGGGCCCGGCATGTAGAATGGTGGTATGTGACACAGCGTGTCAGAGTAATAAAGGCCCGGGGAGGATCCGGATAAACCGGGGCCTGCCAGAACTCTCCTTCCCTCCCCACCATCTGCTTCCTCCAATGACTTTACCATATTCTCAAAATGCCCTGGGAAGGATGTCATATTATAATGAAGAAACACAAAATTATGATGAATATAACACTACTCGGCTTGTGCATTTGATAGGAGCACCTTCCCAGGTCTGGACATTAGCACCACGCAGATGGGAACACGTAAACAAACTGGCTTCAGATGGCTCACCAGGTCCAGACATATGATGCTGGCAGAGTCCAGGATATATGGCCCACGCTCATAGCTCTAAATCAACTCTGTGTCAGAATTTATATTTGCATATTTTCAATCCTTTCAAGTCTCACCTCCACCTGTTTTTAATCTATGTAAGAGTTCATTCAGATGGTCCAAGTACCAGACCAGAGCCAAAGATGGTCCAAGTTTTTGCTTAGATATAGAATATGCTTAAAGTTGCAAAACTGGGCATATCCCCAAACTCTCTTCAGAGTCCTCCAAATCTGAACTCTCTTACTGGTAGATGATAATTTTTGGTCCTAAATCTTAAAAATAACTTAGGCCAGGATTTCCCCTCCAAAATTCCCCAAATACTTTTCTCCCTGCTAGTGTGAATCTGGCCTAAAAGGCAAAATCGAAAGTATTAGGTCTGGTACCACTTTTACATAGATACTGCAGGGCAGAAACACATATGGGCCAAGAATTCTAGTGGCAATTTCCACTTTGAGAAATGGAAAGTCAACCTCTGCTCTAAATTAAATGAAATTCAATTAAATGAAGATAAAGTTGATAAATTTAGCTAAGATAAACAGACATGAAAAAACATTTAAAAATAGTTAAGCCCTCTGACATGCTGTTAAATAATGTGCGGACTTTTAAATCTCAGCAACCCTGGAAGGAAAATGAAGGAACAGTGAGGTGACTGACTAACCTCCAAAGAGATCCACTTCAGCAGTGACAGCAGTAACTGTTGTAGTAGTTGAGGCAGAAGCTGAAGCAGTTGCAATTTCAGCAGCTGTAGGAGGAGGGGTGGGTTCTGTTGCAAATGGATCTGAAATCTGTACTTCAGAGGGAGCAGAGGCAAGTGTAGCCAGAGAGTCTGTGTTGCAGCAGAGATGGAGAACAGATGGAAGAGAAGAAAAGGAGAGGACGAAAAAATACACCCGGTTCCAAACGACCAAAATGAAGGCAGTTAGTAAGACCCAGAAGTCTCTCAAAACAGAAGTTTAAAATAAAGCTTTACTCACCCTCTCCCAAAAGGTCTGTCGATGTCCATTATGGGTCAGCATATGAAGAAATAAGAGATAAAGCTGAAATATTCAACCACACCAGTGTCCAAGCAGGGTGAGGCACTAACTGAAGAAATTCTAGCTTTCTGGACCATTTGTAATAAAAAACATAAATGTACAGTCAGCCCTCTGTATCTGTGTGTTCTCCATCCTTGGTTCAACCAATCAAGTGAATCCAAAATACTTTTTGGGGAAAACGTTACGTTGTGCTGATGTGTACTATGTAGTTTCACCTGCGATCGTTACATCTCTACTGAACATGTACAGTCTGTTTTTCTTGTCATCATTCCATAAACAATATAGTAAACAACTATTTACATAGCATTTACATTACATTGGGGTTATAACTAATCTAGAGATGGCTTAAAGAGGATATGTGTTATATGCAAATACTCGCCTTTTTATATGTAAGTCCTGAGCATCTGCAGATTTTGGAATCTGAAGGGGTCCTGCACCCATTGCCTTGTGGATACTGAGAGATGACTCTATGAGCTGTTACCATTATGGAACCTTTGAGCTGGAAGGGTACTTAATTAACGTGCTGTAAAATAATTTAGATCAAGTTTCCAACTTCATAGATGGGAAAACTGAAGAGCAAGTGGGGTCAAGACACTTACCTAAGTCAGTTCTAAACAATTTTGAAAAACTCAATTTTTTTTTTTTTACCAGATTTACCATTTTAACTACTTTGATTGATTTCCATATACCATAAATATCCATTCTGATGAAATTATAGCTAACTTTACTGATCTTCTTTATTTGATCGTAGGTGAAATTACTGTAGTCTGGAATACAGAGAATAAATTGGAGCTTTATAAAAGCCGTAATTTGGTTGTAGAATGTATTAAAACAGTCAAATAAATAAATGCAAGTTTAGGGGTTAGAAAAAGAAAATCCAACCTAATTTTTTTTCTTCTGCATAGGTTTCACATTATCAGATATTTTTCAATTCAATATAATCTTTATGTATGTGTGTGTGTGCATATATATATATATATATATATATATATATATGCGCCTTACATTAAAACACAGCATTTCATTGGGAGGTTCATACTTTCTGTTTTCAATAGTGGGATTAGAGTTGGCATCCTGAATAAGAAGCCTACAAGGAGTTATTCTTTTCTTTACTATGACTTCATGTCAAACATTTGTTCAATGGCATTTTTCTATTCGCAGTCACATGAAACACCTTATATTTAAATTCATGAATGTTCCTGTAAATTTACTTTAATGATAATTTTTTATCAGAACTCATTAGAAATATTTTCCCCCCAGAGCTTTAAAACAAGTAAGAACCTGTAACCCAAAAGTTCTAGAGGACATTAAAAAAAAACCCTGAAAAAGATAAATTTGACATTAAAATAATCACATTCACTTAACTACACATTTTGCAAACCCAATGAATATTTTGCAAAGCACTCTACAGCTACACTGAGATAATCAGACTCTTCCTAACCAAATCCTATATATTATATTTCATAACAAATTTTAGAAAATTATAGCACGTGGAATTGACATTAGAAACCCTCTTAAAATTTTAGAATGTATACTTAATAAATAGCATGCAAAAAAACCCTACTAGTATGTTGGGTTGGAGCTAGAGTATATTCTGCTGATAGGTGGCCAGGTCCACAGTCCCAAGAAACAAGGTTTTTCCAATAAGAAATTTCTTATACCAACAATACCTGGCCCAATACAAGCATTACTCCACAGTCACAATGCCTAAAAATATTTTAGGATGACCAAAGTGGGTCATCAGAAGCCAGACAGACTTGGCCTTTCTCTTTTCCAGGCATTGGTGGGACTCTCCCTCACCTGCCCTTTTCAACACGGATATCTCAAGCTTCAATGAGACTTAGCAGAAGAATGAAAAGCCAGGTGACAGCACAGTTTCCATACCTATGATGGGGAATGAGCAACTGATTTCATACATTTGTTAAAGAGGAGAAAACTTATTTGCATATACTAGAAGGTGAGAGAAATGAAAAGATTTTAAAAATATAAAAGATGTCAAGAGAAGCCATATATTTATAAGATTAAAATATTAATTCCTTGCCTTTGACTAGTATTTTGTTCAACTGGAGGGGGATGATGAAACTTCCAGCAGTGATAAAATGGAAGAAGAAAAGTAAAACTTCCTAAGAAAATGTATGAGGTAATTAATCATATTGTTGAATAATTGATGATGAAAAAATTTTCCCTTCCTGGAAACCACAGGTTTTAGTCTCCAAACTCTTCATTTTCTAGATAAAACAAAATTTATGCTACTTATATCTTGCTTTATGCAAAATTTTCTCTCCTAAAGTCTCTAATTTGGGATGCTAAGAACAGTTTTAAAGATTCTCAAAACTACTACTTGTAGTAAAGAATTAATTTATCCAAAAAAGCTACAATAGCAGAGTTAATCCACTGGCAAATGGCATATAATCAGATTTTTGAAATAATAGAAATCACTAAAAATATTCTCTGTAACCAAGAAAACAGATCTACAACTAAATTAACAATGAAATGTATAGCCTACAATGAGCTATGGCTAACCTTTTAGGTTATTATAAAGATTAAATGTGTTAATATATTTAAGTGCTTATCCATATCTGTTACATATAAATGCTTACATTAAATGCTAGCTATAGCTAACATTTAGTTTAAATTATAATTTTCATTATTGATCTGTGAATATCAAAGCTTCTAATCTTTCTGTGTTTGTGTGTCTGTCTAAATGTATGTGTATGAAAATAGCCTAAAGATATGCCCCCCCCGATTTAATTAATAAGAAAATGGTAATATGAGTCATAAAAACTGCTTTTACTGTAGATAATATTCTACCTGGAAATTATTAAAGTCATATAATGACATAATATTGATGAGCTTTCAAATACATGTTGATAATTAATTCTTATTAGATCCATTAATTCTAATTAAAACCCTAGCAGTAATTCCATGTCTCTCAAAAAGCAGAAATCTGACTTAAAGAATTTGTAATAAGAAATAATCTGTTTTTCCACTTCTAAAGTACACAGAAATATAACATACAAAACTCACTTGTTTGTGCTGAGAGATGAATTTATTATAAGAAAAAAAACTCTCCCGATTATGGGGCCAAAAGTAGGAATTTAAAAAATGCTCTGTATTATTTTCAGTGAAACATGTTCATTATTAGCTCACAGGATGCCAAATATTGTAAGCACTATTTAAATTAAATTTACCAAAATAAAAATTTGCTAAAATTTGGTTGCTTTACACCAACAGGAAAAAAAAATAGTATCATTTATAATATTCCTCCTAAAATGGCAATATTTATAAACGCCTGAAGCAGTGATGGTAATTTGAAAATGAAATCCTCTTACTGTGTTATGGTCAGATAAGAATATCCAAATAGGTCTAACTAGCTTTTAAAGTTCATATTGTACTGTCTAGTTAAACAAATTAAAATATGCTTCAATAATAAAATCAGCCTAATCTTATCAAACAAGATTGGGAAAGTGATTTTTTTTTTCTTTAGCCACATAAGCCAAAATGTATTTGTTACAATTTAGCATCATCATCAAATCTTCAACCATCACTGGGTATCTGTAGAATAAATGCAAACTGAAGGTGGGTGACTATGACTTCTCAACTTCATATTACACTACTTCAATTTCTTAAGGCTTATGATTTATATTATTTTGCTTAGGAAATTTATTTATTAGCATTTTTCTCCCCAGCTGACTTTTCCTCTGATATACAGTACTGTAGCTGTAGGCATTTTGCTGAGATAGAAGACTAATGCTGTCTAACCATCAAAAAGTGGCCAGCTGGACCTAACTCAAGGGCTTCTGAAAGCCCTCTGCATAATTATTAAAAAGCAGGGGAGCAAGGGGGGGGGGGAGAAAGAGGAACATCTGTAATAATATGAACAATAAAGATTAAAAAAAAAACACAAAACACCTTTCTCTCAAGGACGAGAAAGAGTTACAGCTTTGCTGGCAGAAAGTGGCTAGATACCAGCCGCTCTCTGGAGTCTCACACAAACTGGCTGACCAGGCCAGACAGTCCAGGCTGAAACCACACGACTAGACCTACTGACATCTCAGTGTCTGTCACCAATAGTTATTACTTCTAACAAGTAAAGACTGAAAAGTGTTATAATGAAATTAGTTATTAAAACGTGTTCTTCACGATACTATGTGTCTTAGCAAAAACTCCTTGGAGATGAGTGTGAATTAAAATGTCATACTGAAATTGAAGAAGATTTCACCTACATTTTTTTTTTGGTGTGTGTGTTTTATTTTATTTTTTAACTTTTGGCACCAAAACAATTTTTTGTTAGAGCGTCAATGTAAGAAATGTCCAAACTTGTAAAGAATTTGGTAAGAGCCTGTTTGAGTTTGAGCTGCCTGATGACATGTCAAGAAGCAAGATCTCAAATGCTCCCAAGCATAGTAGCTTTGTAGCTCTTTTTGTACATTTGGAACGAAGAAGGGGACGTAAGGAAGATACGTGAAGGTGGGGAAATCGCAATGATGGTACCATAGGATAGTTAACAAGATTATGTGCTCCCTTGAGAGTGGTTATGCCTCTAAAAAAGAGAATTAACCCAGCATTCCAAAGGTGTGGTAAACTCTATGCACAAGAACAATGGAAAGGGCTGACTTAAAGCAAAGAAACTCCTTTCACTAAAGAAGATAGAGGCCTGGAGCATGACTCCTCTCCATGACCCCCCGGTCGGGAATTCAGGATCAGATCGCCTATGCTGTTATTTTGGGTCACTGGTTTATTACAGAGCCCCTCTCTCTCTCTCTGATGTGCTGGGTTCCTGGCTCTCCTGTTGCAGGAGGTGCACTGCCCTGTGCCCATGCAGTGGACTAATGGACTTTAATTCACCTGAATGCTGAGCTGGATCTGGTTGCAACATGGGGCAGAAGCTCTGGACACCGGCCCCCTTTTGGCTCTACTGGACTCCCAGCTGCCCCTCTTTTCAGGATGGGGTTAAGGGGCATGGGACTTTGCAACCTGAGAGATGTAACTCCATGCAAATAAAGCCTTTTACCGTATCTTGTTCTCCAGTGCAAGTCTTAGAAAACTCATTTCTAAAGATCTCGCAAGAATCCCGTGCCTGCGAGAAATCGAGAAGTTTGAATCTCCAGTGACAAAGCTATCCCAGATTTTAACTGCATTTAAGTCAAATACAATGTGAATAAAATAAATTCCTGTCAGGAATCCATAAAGGAAGGTTTTCCATGAAAAAAAAAAACAAATTAGAAATGCTGTCTTTGCATAATCTCATAAATGTTCAGCAATACCCAGACTTCTAAAGCCCGAATCTCTAGAAAACAAGACTAACTATAACCAGAATTTTAGAACAGCAAAGGAAAGTACTGCCTTTGTCCCAACATTTAAAATAAAAACTAGATGGCTACATGAACATTTTAACTGTATGATGTGTACTTCTTCTGTCTCTGTCTCACTCCATATATATTTCCAATTAATAGATGGCATTGTGGACATTTTCTCTCCAAGTTTCTAGCACCATTTTGGAGCCTCAGAAGGTAAGCATAACAATTACAGCCTGCGTAAAAGCCACTGAGTGGAGAGAGGGCCTGACTGTCCGGTTTCACTCACCTCCCCACGCAGTGGCTCCTCCAGAAGGCGGTGCTGGTGCTGGTGCCGCGGCTGCCGCCGCCCCTCCAGAGGAGAAGTCTGGCTGGAGGTCCAGGAGATCGCTCGATGGTTTAGAAGTACTGAATGGAAATATGATTTTAAAGTCAGACTTTGAAGCTTTACAATGTAAAGATATCCTTAATAGAATTATGTAGGAAAAATTATGCAGATTTCAAATCAAGTAAGAGAACAATATCTTGGAAAGTACAGTAGTAGTTCTTCTACACCAAGGGTTGGCAAATGCGATTTGTAAAGGGCTAGCGGCTACGTATTTCAAGCTTGTGGGCTAGATAATCTCTATCACTGCTTGACTCTGCCACCGTAAAAGTGAAAGAAGACATAGATGACACATGAATAAGTATGTGTGCCCTTGTTCCAGTAAAACTTTAATTATAACAAACAGCCAGGGGGATAGATTTGATTCCTGGGGCCATAGTTTGCCAACTCTTGCTCCATAGACAACAATAAAGTTAAGTCATATTTCAAGCTATAAGTCACTCACCAGAGCAGAAATTAAAAGGGAAAATCTAAATGCCTCAAAGTAAAGTGGAATTTGCTTAATCATGTTACGAAATGCTAGTTAGGAGGACTGTGACAAAAGGAAACATCATCCAAATATTAAAGGTATTAGGGTAAGAGGGTCATGGATAATTTCTTTTCTCTATTTTAAAATTTTTTTAATGAAAAACATTCTTGTTTTGAGAAGAATACTTTATTTATAAACGAAAGATAGTAAAATGAATAATTACGAATGTACCTTGTTTTCTAAATAAAAGTACAACGTATCAGTTTTGGCTATAAAGAGGACTCACCCGAAAATACAGATATATATTTTCATTCATTGGAGCTTTGATTTTCAAAGCTCCTCCATTTGCAGAAGTTCTAAGAAGGAATCTAGAGCTTTGCTATTCATAGTGTAGACCCCTAACTAGTAACATCCTGGGACCTTGTTAAAAATGCGACATCTCAGGCTTACTTCATTATCCCCTACATCAGAAACTTTACTTTAACACGACCCTGAGTGTTTCACATGTGCACCCAGGTTTAAAGCGCCCTGGCCTCAAGGTCATCAGACCAGGTACCAGGCCATCAGAACCCCAGGCTCCCCATCCCCTCTTCATAAACAGCAATCACATCTTTTCTTTTTTACAGATTAGAATTCCAAGAAGAATAGATTCTGCTACTTAAAAACAGTTTCTAAACCCTTGAAATTTGCCTACTTTTGATGTCCACTTAATAAATACAACAGGTATAACTGCCAGAATAGGAAAGTATATTTATTAATATTCATATCAGAGCTTTTATAAGAAGTAACTTATCTTAGTATAGAGACAGAAAGGTCTTGGTTTTACCAAGTTGGAGATTATAAAAAGCCAAACTAAGCAATAGAGGATAACATACATTGTTATCATGGGCGTATTATTTAGATTTACTGTTTAGTTCAAAATTTAAGTCTCTAAATACAGGGCATTCACAACCAGAGTCACAGATGGTACAAAATGAGACCAGAATCCTAAGGCAAAATAGCCAAATGAAGAGTTGCCCTAAAGTTATTGGTTGAGGAAGCCTCTGCGAGTTGGGGCTTCGCTGTAGGCAGCCCTGAGATTTCACAGAACGCACAGCCATCTCTGCCTTTCTCGCCACCGTCTGACCTCTACGTGCTATTAAAGCTCATTAGAAACACCACTGTGGTCCCTTCCCAACACCTGAGTTTCAGTCCCTCCGATACACCAAGCTAATTGACCTCTACCTGCAAGCTTAAAAAAAAAAAAAAGGCATTTTAAGACAACATTTAAATTTCCCACAAGAATAAACATTTTTTAGAAAACATTTTCTGTGTCAGCCAATTTCAGAAGAACTTGCAACATGTGCATGGTTTTTCCACTTCCTTTCCCAAATGTGTGGGCAGCAAGGTGATGCCACAGCTTAGGTCCTTCTTATGCTTTTAGAGGCGCAGGCTTCAGTAACTGCATCAGGTATAAAATAACTTACTTTCCTAAAAATAACCCCAGTAATACATGTTAGGGCTAGCTTTCCTTTCCTGAAATCATTTGGATTCAGTACTTAAAAAAACAACAATAACTTGTCAACATCAACATACTGATAAGCCTTCCCTGAACACTCATTAACTCACCTGACAGGGGCAGCCGCGGATGGAGTTGCAAATAAATCAACCGGTGGGGCCGTGTCGATGGTTTTCGCTGGTGTGGAATTAGGGGACGTCACAGTTGTGGCTGGAGAAGACTGAAAGCGAAGATGCACAACACACTCCAGTCAAACCCGCATCTGAATCTGCAGGACACAGAGCAGCTGCACTTCCGCTCCGCAGACCCATGAACCACGGATCTACAGAGGACACACTCCTGCCACTGATAGCGCCAATCCTGTCCTTAAACACGCTAAAGAGAGATAGGGAGGTCAGGGAGGAATTACATTTACTCAAGTAGACTGCCTGAAAAGCATGCTTGTGGCCCTGGCTGGTGTTTCTTAGTGGTAAGGGTGTTGGCCCACACACCAAAAGGTTGCAGGTTCGATCCCCTAGTTGGGGCACGTGCAGGAGGCAACTCTTTAGTCCCTCACCTCAGTGGTTCTCTGTTTCTTTTTCTCTCCCTTTCTCTCTCCCTCCCTCCCTTCCATTCTCTCTAAAAAATTGATGGAAAAAATATCCTCAGGTAAGAATTAACCAAAATAGAAAAAACAAAAACAAACCCACAAAGGCACACTGTGGAAAGATTCCCACCTACAATTGGTTTCTTTACCATTAAAACACACATAATATCATGTGCCTTACCTGTTTCACAGGGCTGTGGTTTAGAGCATGTGAAAGTGCTTTTCAACTAACAAAATGTTACAGATATACTTGGTCTCAGTTGTAAAGGACTAGTTCACATTTTGATAATACACTGGACTTAGGAAATATAAAGAATACATAAAAACTTATCTTTCCTTTTCTCAAAAATTTAAAAATAAAATTACAACCGAAACCGGTTTGGCTCCGTGGATAGAGCATCGTCTTGTGGACTGAAAGGTCCCAGGTTCTATTCCGGTCAAGGGCATGTACCTTGGTTGCGGGCACATCCCCAATGGGGGGTGTGCAGGAGGCAGCTGATTGATGTTTTTCATCGATGTTTCTAGCTCTCTATCCCTCTTCCTTCCTCTCTGTAAAAATTCAATAAAATATATATTTAAAAAAAATTACACCTGATCCAGTAATTCCTCTTCTGCATATATATACCCAAAAGAATTGGAAGCAGGGACTCGAAGGGGTATTTATACACTCATTATCATAGCAGCATTATTTAAAATAGCCAAAAGGTGGAAGCAACTCAGAGTGTTCATTGACAGATGAATAAATGAACAAAATGTGGTATATTCATATAATGAAATATTATACAGTCTTGAAAAGAAAGGGAATTCTGACATGCTACAACATGGATGAACCTTGAAGATATTATGCTAAGAAAATTTAGACAGTCACAAAATGATAGTTCCTGGATGATTCTATTTATATGAGGTACCCAGAGTACTTAAAATCAGAGAGACAGAAAGTAAAATATAAACGGAAAGTAAAATAGAGACAGAAAGTAAAATATTATAGAATAGGGGAAGTGGAAAGCTAATGTTTCAAAGGTACAGAATTTCTGTTTTAGAAGATAAAAACATTATAAAATGAATGATAGCAATGTTGCTAAACAATGTGAATGTAATCCACTAAACTGCATCTCGAAAAATGGTTAAAATTGTTAAAACACAACAAAAAATAAACTTACCTTACTTAATGGAGAGGGAGCACCAGATCTAAAAGGCAACAAAAAAATTAAAACTGAATACACATGTAGAAGCATTTAAATTTGATACTATCACTTGGTCAATAAACATATATATTTTTTTTTTAGTAACTAATACTTTTTACCTTTTACTCAGTTATGGCATCTTTTTAAAAAAATTATTGTTTAAAGTATTACAAATAGTAGTACATATGTCTCTTTTTTGACATCCTTTTCTAATGTCTCCCCACTAAATTTCTAGTATTAGAAATTCTTAAATTAAGAATTTCCCCCTATATCTCTAGCAATTTAATTCTTCAAGTTGATCATTATTGCCCATGTCCATCAAAAATAAGCTGTCTGAATTGGAATTTAATATTTTTTCTCCAAAACTTGGGAAAATATGTTTTATAGAATTAAAAAACCTGATTTATTATTTCAAAAAGTTACGAAACTCATTAAGTTTAAAGTATACTGTGATTAATTAATCATAATTGTGAGGCATAAAATAAACACTAAAATAAAAAAAAAAATCCCTATGAGCCCTGTGCCTGAAATATGCCTCAACTTCCTTAAGTGTTTTTAATTGTTATAATGAAATCTATAAAAAATATTCCTATTATCTTATTAGGACTAGTGGAAGCTTAAAAATGAACAGTAATCTCAATGTTTATTTCTAAAGCAGTGAAGGAAAATTAGGAAGAGTTTTTTTTTAAGTTATATTATGAATAGCAGTGACTACTGCACATCACTTCTACAAAGTGCTTCAGAAACATCTGCTTAAACAGCTTACATTTCACCAACCTGAATTGGTGGAAAATAACAATAAAACAAAAGGAATTAAAAATACATTGCAATAAGAAGCCTATTGTCAGGGTCTTATAGGATGTCAGGGATGTCTTGCTACTTAGAGAAAATATCACATGTAGTAGTAGCAGAAAAAATTAGCAGAGAGTTAATAACTGAATTTTATACACTATCATGAATTTTTATTATTGGATATAGCAAAACAAATCTCGTAGTAGTATATGCCTGGTTAATACCTTTTATGTTCAACTTCATTTGCAAATATGTGCCTGCCATTTTCTATTTAAACTTAATTTTTCCTTAAAATTAATATAAAGAAAGGGCTCATAAAAATTTCTACTATATTATGAAGGTAGAAGCATAAAGGTAACATTTAATTTGGTTATGTGTAGTTTGGCTAAATATAATCTTAAGAATGACATATTCTATAAAGAAAAGGATATACATTTATCTATATTGCTTATTTAAAAGGGCCTACTGAAACAAGTGAATCTTAGTGCACTCTACATCTCTAAAAAGCTACTTAGGTACCTAAAAATCTTGTATAGCAGGAATTCAAAAACTCCTGAATGCGTTTTTTATTAATTTCTCCACTCCCACCATTTTTTCCTTTATCTAAGTGGAAAAGGAAGGGAACTAAGTCTAAGTAAAAATCCAAGAACTTGGCAAAGAAAACATAGAAGCCATTTGACATGGCCACTTTCTAAGAATGAATTAATTGAAATTAAATGATCTCTCTAGCAATTTCATGAAGGAGTGCTCAGTGGTACTGACACATGAGGAATACTATTACAGAAAAGAGAACTGAGGATATGCAAGCGCCTTTTGAAATATGTTTCCAAGCTAATACATAAACATTTCTAACATACTGTATAGCAATACTGTATAGCATACTGTATAGCAATACTAAAGATATAATAAAGATGATAGAATTGCTCTCTCTGCCATTAAAGGATATCATGCTCAAATATAAGCATAAGACATCATAATTGGCACAAGAATTATTTTGCCAAGCTCCTACACAAATGCCATTACTAAATGACACGTGTAGTTACCCCATAGATTAGATAAACAAATGAAAATTCCCTATTGTCCCTGCAGAGCTCTCATGCCACCTACTGCACTGTATCTTAACTGGAAAAGTGTCTGTATCCTCCATTAGATGCTAAGTTCTTAGCACTGAGGGGACTCACCTCATTACATTCCTGGCACTTTACACAGCAGCTCGCATTGTGTAGACAGTGAAATATATTTTTGTATTATCTGGATTTTTGAATGAGAATACATTTATGTACTCTTTGTATAAAAATGTAAATTCACCCAAAGTCTCAAACATTATTTTGTGTGAAACTAAATTGTTAGGATGTGTGACCTCCGTTCCCATGGACCAGATCCAGCCTTTAACAAGATTTCATCAGGAAGGTGAGAACGAGAGTTGCTCCCATTGGGACATGACTTAAAAAGGATCATTAATCACGGGTTAAAATCCGAGGCTCTGAGTTCAGAGAGATAAGTAACTTGCCACGTCTCTCTATGTGTTAGTGGTGGATTTAAGACTCCAGTCAAAGTCTGTCTGATGCCCAGAGCCTGTGCTCATTTCACATTCCAGCGGGTCCTGACGGAAACACACATAGCCCAGCACAGTTGTTCCTCCCTTACACAATACATTGATTGCTTCCTTTTACTTGTTCCTTTGTTGATTTTCTTTCCTACCATTGGTCATTTGTCCTTTATAAAAGAAAAGGCTACAGTGTTTTACATATAAGTAATGACATTTATTACAGACCTATATTTATTTTAGCTAGAGAAACTTAGCACTTAGTGAACTGTATTGGGGAAAATAAAACACGAATACAATTTCAGAAGAGAATAAATGACTTTAAAGTAATCTACCCTAAATCTTATAAAATGCTACAAACCAATATGTGGGTTTTTTCTGATGCACAGAGTAAGTGCCAAGATTTACTTCCACAATGTTAATAGTAAGGTATCCGAAGAGGACATTTTATTATTTCTTATTTACAACAATAACCCCTATATAGTTCTGGTTATAAATGCTAGTTATAAAAATAAACAATAACAAAAATAAAATGCAGATGTGAAAAATCTGTCTTCCAAATAACTTTACTTACCAGAGGTTTATCTTGCATTTCTTGCACCCTCAACAATTAGAAACCAACATATAAAATAAAATTCTCTCTTTGGTCTATGGAGTCATAGAAACAAACAATATTCAAAGCTGCACCATCCAGTATTGCATAAATGTTCCAAACATCAGTTTCTTTACAGTACTAAATATAAAGGGTATACATATTTTTTATAGAAAACATTTAAAAATGCTTTGTATTGTGCATTTACCCAACCTGGAGACAACTTTAATAATTAATTTTCTTTATAAAATTGTCTTTTGTTATATGACATGGGAAAATCTTTTGGTTACTAAATAAATGAAAAAAAAAACCTTTGATATCTAAAAGAAATATATATATTTGTAAATATATAATACATACATATATACTAGTATCTAAGAGAGAGAGACTGTTTGTCTTGATCCAAGAAGACCAAACCAAAGTAAAACCATTTATGCCAGTCAACTTGTGAGACAAATGAAAAAGTATAATGAAAAACACAGATGTGTAAAATGGACAGAAATCAATTTTAAATGTTTTAAATACCAAATGTGGACTCTTAAGAGTGGTTTTTTTTTTTGTTTTTTTTTTTTTGCATTTTTAGTAATAACCAAATGCAAAAAAAAAAAAAAAAAAAGAGTCACTCGATATAGTACTCACCCTTCACTTAAGTTCCCAGGTAAGCACAAATATACAAAGAAGAAAAATAGTTAACCACTGTAGTTTACTTATTTTAAAAACAGGGAATAAAAGATAAGTTCATATGCGGTCTTAGCCAATTCAGAAAAGAAATATGACAAGCATAAAATGATTTTAAAGCAGAGAGAAAAAGTATGCTCAGCTAAAGATAATACTATTTCACTGCTTTTGGAAATGTACTTAAGTATAATATATATAGCCAAGTTCTCTAAAAAATTTGCAGCAGCCACCAGGGGGCGAATTTAGATCTGAAGTGAGGACCAAAATGCACTCCACCAGGCTGCGGCAGCCTTGACAGCAGCCCTGACAGACAGAACAAGAGGACAGTGTGGATGTGTGCAGTGTGTGGTGGTGGGAAACTTGAGAGGGAAAGAAGGCAAAGAAATTGCCCAAGGAAGAGGCTCTAACTCTTGGGGGTATGCATACTGCAGTTCCTTTGCTAACAAGGCTCCTTTGCCACAGGAGCAGTGCCTTTCCTCAGGCTTCCTGCCTCCTGTTCCTTAAATCCAAGGCAACTAACTCCTTGGCTTCCAAGATCCCGTAGTAGAGGATGGCCCCAGCAGTAGCTGGAAGCGGGCATCTCCTGTTGTGACTTTGTATACTCTCTGGTTTTCTATTTGACATCCATCCATCCGCAAAAGGCTGACCACCCACAGCCACACCCTGGGCTGTGGTAACAAACCCGCTGGAGCCCCTGAGAGGTCCATCATTCCAGCAGCTCTGCCATAACCACCTGAGAGATTCCTACGCTACTGTTTGTCATTGAGAACTTAAAACAGGCAATACTTTTTTATACTAACTTGGGAAAGATGACAGAAATAACACATAGCTAATAAAACAACAACAAAAGTAAGGTTAGGACACCAGTCTAGATTCTGGGAGAAGAGCGCAGAGAGGAATTGCCTTCTGATGGCTGTCCCACAGGGAAAACCTCTGATCGGCCCACAGATCTGTCATGATCAGCTATTAAGCTGTCTCTGCTAACGTCTGCTGTCCAGCTCAGCGGACTAAACATAAAGCCAGGACAACCCGCCAAGACCTTTCAAGCTGACTCTGCGGAGAGAGCTACACCAAGTGTTACGGGCGAGATAACGAAGTATAAAATCATCCCTGACCTTCAGAATTAGAAAATCTACTTAAACCACACGTGTGAAACAGAATGGAACAACACAGGGCAGAGCATGACTAAGGAAGGTTTTGTGAAATGTCCCTCCTGGGATGTGTGAGGTTTACACAGACAGAGATAAGGGGGGGACACATCCAGGACCAGCAAGGCACAAAGAGTGGAAAGCATTGGGTCTTGTGAATGCACAAGTTTGATGCCTGTCAGAGGGGGAAAAAAAAAAAGGAATGGCACCTGGACATTTTTGCATGTATTGAGGAAAAATAGTAAAACATGTAAGTGCCAAACACAGGTATAAAAATCGAGTAAAATCGCACTTACCGCTGCTTGATTGCCACTCTCTAAAAAGCTCTCTTAGTAAAATGTCAGCAGCATGCCATGCTGAATGGTTCAAGTGGGAAGAGTCTGGAGTCCAAGAAAGGGCTTTGCTTTTTTTTAACAGTGAGGTTAGTAACACAACGCTGTTCAAGGCTGCTTGTGAAACTGTGCTTGTTCTACGAATGCCCAATGATGACAGCCTCAATTTTTAAACATAAGCAACTCTTTTTCTGATTATTGTGACTCCCTTCTAAGGGCAAATACCTAAATCAGCGAGTTCAGTTAACATAGGAGCAACCTACTCATTTACTGCATTTGCCTGCAGACAGAGGGTTGGGGGGTGGTGGCGGCACTGTCTTGAGTTAATGGGAAGAAGGGGGGATGGTTGAGGAAACCCAGGAGAATGACAATAGAGCATACCCTAAAACTGTAGTAGTGTAAGTTGCACTGTGATAAATCTCATTCTTATAAAGCACAATTCTAACATTTTTCCATCTTAGTTATAATATACAACTAATGCGTACTTGTTTCCAGGTTTCTTTCCTTCTAATGTGTTTAGATGCTGTTCAAGGGTCTCCATGAGACTGCTGGGAGCCTACAATAAGAAAGTAAGAATAAATGTCTGGGTTGCTCACTTGCAAAGTAAACACACTGGAACGTCACTGTAACCTTACAGGGTGGAGGTCTGTGAGTGGACCCCGACATATATGCGAGGTAATTACATTCTAGGTCTTTTAGAGTTAAAAATCTTTAAGTTCCCTGCAATCTGAGACAGGCCAATCCTACATGTACTTAACTCCACTGCATAACAAATAGTGTTACAGTGTGGTTTCAGTGTAGAGTATACATTGGATAAACTTATTTCTAACATATTACTTATATGCAGTAAACTAAGTTTAATCCAATTCACCATATGTTTCCATAACACCACAGTGAAAAAAGAATAGGTATTTATATCCAAGTCAAAAATATAAATAGGTATTTGTATCCACGTGCTCAAATACAAAGTAACAGGAATTTGAAATACAGTAAAATCTCACTTATCCATGTTTGACTGAAATATTAGGAAAAATTGCTATATACTAAAAACAAGAGGAAGGGGTAAGTGATAGTTGTGGGGAAAAGAATACGCCTGTAGGAGCTAATAACAATTAAGATTTTCTTATTATTGAGGCATTTAATTCATTTCTATAATAAAATAACTACCAAATATAATAATGTTATAATGGACTATGTGTATTGATGGATTAAATATATTTCAACAATTTTATGGAAAAGTAACTGTTTTCATAACATTTTAGGCAATATAAAGTGATGGCATTTTACTGTATATTAGAAAGAGAAATAAGAGATTCAAACAATATTCCACTCTATTCCTCAAGCATCAAAAATTTAATTTCCTCTTTCTCAGATAATTTTAACCCAAATTTGGCCTTAGCAGCAAAGGCATTCAAAGAATAGCATTTAATGAATAAAATATATAACTACATTTATAGATACACTGGATTTTAATAATTATATTTAAATTAATATGAAATGAATTTTGAAAGACTGTGCTAACTGTTGAAATAGTTTACATAACTCAAAAAAATTCATATCACTGTAATTTTATATGGTACCTAGAGTGACAATTTAAAATAAAATTTATTAAAAATTTGTGATTTTGAAAGTTCAGGATATTTATTTAATATTCATTTAAATTTTACAAATAGAATCATAAATGGTCTCAATAATCATGTGATTATTATAAGTATAAATTACCAAGTGAAGCAAACATAAGTTTATAAATATAAATTACTAAGTGAACAAAGTATTAATGTGAGCAAAGTGATGGAAGTAAGGTAGAAAGAAGCATTATCTAAAAAGTTAATGACTATAGTGTAGAAAGAATAAGGGGTTATTATAAATCTAGAAAATTATAAAAATTAAAAGTTTATAATATAACTCAGGTGAAAGTGGACTTACTCAACAAATTTCAGTAAACTACTGTAACAAGTATGCCTCTGAATATATAAAAAAGTTTTTAAAAATAAAAGAAATTTTGCTGTATAGAAGAAATAGCCAACTATAAAGTTGTACTAATTTTAAAAACAAAATGTACATTGTAACCTTAAAGGGAAGAAAATAGTTGTGGCTTCATAATTTTTAGGTGTATCCATACCTGATAACTTAAAAATTATATTAATAATTACAATTTTCATAATAATGGAACCCAGGAGGCATACTTTATTTTTTTATTTTCTATTGGGATCACAGAAAGGAAAAAATGGTCAAGTGATAGAACCATTCTCCATTTAGAAGACTCAGGTCCTCTGAATGGCAAGTACAATGTAAAGGAAATGTGATTCTGTGCTAAACCTGTTAAAAACAACAAATGTTACTTACAGACACAGATAGAGAACAATATAGGACAGCATTAAAAAGAGGTAGTATATTCTCCTGTTACATTTCTTAGGTAGCTAATCAACAAAAATCAAAACCAGGAACAGAGTTTGCAATATTCCTTTCCTTCCTTCCTTCCTTCCTTCCTTCCTTCCTTCCTTCCTTCCTTCCTTCCTTCCTTCCTTCCTTCCTTCCTTCCTTCTTTCCTTCCTTTCTTCTTTCTTCTTCTTATTCTTCTTTTTTTTTCAAAATATTTTTAGCAATTTTAGAAAGAATTTTTAGAAAACAAATTAATAGCCATAATGGAAATCTGATCAAGAACACAGACTTCAAAATCGACTTTTGTCTTTAAGAGGAGTTATTTTGCAATATGTGGCACATAAAATTAAGTTTAGAGCATTTTCTCTAAGAGGTTTAAAATGCTTCATCATTTATATTACTTGTAAGTACTGTGAAATATAACAGAAATAAAGTTTTCAAATGTTTGCAGACCGAAAAAACCTGTTTGACAGTAATGCTCAGGAGTGCAGGAATACTGGTCTTCTTCTCAACTGTATCTATGGTGCTGAGCGTATCCTGGCGTATAGTAGGCAATAAAGCAAAACTAAAATTTCCAAGGAGCAAAACTCTGAGAATGCCTTTGCTATTGTAAAGAAATTTGAGATTCACAAAGTATAATTAGTTACTTATTTTTAAAATGCCAAAGTCAATAGACCATTTAGACGGAAACACCAACCCAAGAATAAGCCAGCCTGTGAGAAGCCAATAGATAACAGCAATATATTACGGTTACCGATTCATCAACGGTACAGTCTTTAAAAGGAGACTTTTCTTTACCAGTAGTTTTCAGGTCAACCAGAATTCCTGCCACCAAAACCTAAGACGTTTTTCATAAATGGAGATAATTTAAATTTGGAATGTGCACACACACACACACACACACACACACACACACACACACAGACACACACACACACCAAACAGGAAATACTATTTGAAAATAATTTTCTTGGAACAAATTCATAAATAATTTTGAGTCTAGAATAAAAACGGGAGCATCCATCTAAAATTCAGAGGCTTTAGATTATAAAGCATCATTAAGGGGAGAGGGAGGGGGCTGGATGAAAAAGGTGAGGTAAGACAAAAAAAAAACCAAAACACCAAAATCATTGACACAGACAACAGCATGGTGATTACCAGAAGGAAAGGGGGTTGGAGGGGACGTAGAAGAGGGTAAAGGGGACTAAAGGACTTGGGGTGGTGAACACACATACAATATACAGATGATGAATTATAGAAGTATTCCTCTGACTCCTATATAATTTTATTAACCAATGTCACCCCAATAAATACAATAAAAAAAAAACACAAATGGGGAAAAAGCAGCCAAAAGATCATTCAAATTTTTGATCATTAGATCTAAGAAACCATTTGAAAAGTGCTGAGGAATATATCAGGTCTGATATCTTCACTTCTTACCCAAAACAAACTTTTGAATGTTTTTAAAGGAAATGTCACTGATACATGTAAATCATTTGAACGCACTGAGGAGGGCATCAGACGCACAGTTTAAAAAGGGCTACCGATGTCCACTCTGATAGTTATTGTGCAATTTCTAACCTAAAGGATAGCCATTAAATTCCTCTGCTCCATCTTGCAGCAAGAGGAATTCTAATCTTTTTTGAGTTACGAAGCAGCTTACACCTTCTCCCAGTCAATAGGTAACCCTTCTGGTCTCCATCTCCTCTCTAACCCTCTCCCATGTCTGGTATTTTTATTTACTGTCACAGCTAGATTGAGTGCCATGGTGGCCGGCAAAGAAAAGAATCTAATCTCAAAGGAGTTAAACTGAGCACCCAAAAAGTAGCATTTCTGACGCATCTGCAGAAAATTCTGGTCCAACATGGTTTAAAGGATTAACCCTATCTAGAGCAGCTCACATTCCAGCTAGGACTTGACTATACTGTCCCAGTGGATCTAAATCCCCAGTTCTATTGGAAGCCTGCTTTGGAGCTGTGGAAAGGGCTCTAAATAAGCATTAGCTCTGTTACTTATACTCCCAGCAGAAATCACAACGAGGTAGCTTAAGAAATTTCAGAAGCACACAATACTCTTGCACTGACATGTAAATATATACTGGAGAAATAAGATACAAATTGTTTTTTAATGAGGAGGTGATTTACAAATTAAACATTAATAGTGAAGTTTATGTGGCTCTTATAATCATAACAAAAGTAGGGGGTGTGCAATACCAGAGTCTAATGGATCTCTACCAAAGAATAGCTTTTTATTAGGCCCAGGGCAAGACTATATCTTAAAGATTTTATCTCTGTTCACCAAATTGTGATAACACACAACTTTATATAAAGTATGTCACCGTAGCCTGTTTGGCTCAGTTGATAGTGTCGGCCTGTGAACTGGCCTCTGAACTGAAGGGTTCTGGGTTCGATTCTGGTTAAGGGCGTATGCTCAGGTTGCAGGCTTGATCCCCAGTAAGGGGCATGCAGGAGGCAGCCAACCAATGATTCTCTCTAATGAATGATGTTGACGTTTCTATCTCTCTTTCCTTCTCCCTTTCTCTCTGAAATCAATAGAAATATATATTTTTAAAAATAGTATGTATCTGAACTCTAGAGAGATTATGTAAATTATAATAAATTTTATAGTATCATTTAAATTAAATGCAAATATGTGATTCCTTCTTTTGATGATTTACTATAATTTTAAAAACAAAACAGTATTAAATATTCCTGTAACCTTTCCTTGTCTTCCTTTAGGCTCTGTCCTAAGTAAAATAAAGGAGGACCTATTTTCTTATTAACTGAGAGCACTTCTAACAATACATCCAGTTTTTCTTTTATTCCACAGTGAGCTGCTCATAGAACTGAATAAAGATGATTTATCATTTCTAAAAGTTATTCATTGAGCTGAATATTTTCATATCCAACTTTCTAGGCTAACATGCATTATTTATTTGGACTATTTTACAAATAAAGACAAAAATCAGCGTGCTAGAACTGCATCAGAGTTTGCCCTTCATGCCCCCTCTTCACACCTGGGACATGCTGAAATCCAGAAGAACAAGCAGGAAGACAAATTCAAATGTCTTGATTATCATGCCTACAAATATCTTTTCATAGATAAAATATTTTTAAACAATATTCAAGGCTCCCTTTTGATTCAAGTTCAAGAATGAACATATGACCTCAGTAAGTAAATTCAGTTGCCTTTTAAGAAGAAACTATGTTTATAAGGGTAGGAAAGTATTCATATTACCTCTAGAAATATATTTAATAGCTAGAAAAAATAAGCTAGAATAATTTCCAAGAAAATCCATTGGCCTACATTTAAAATACATTAAATACTTATAAATACTTACAAGACTTCATCAATGATCCAGGTAAGACCTTTAATGAAAAACTACAGAATAATAATTTCATGTACACTGAATTTTCCACTCAAAGAATCACTTACCTGTGTGAGGTCAGGAATATCACCTTTATCAATGCCAACTTGCTGTGGATTAAGAAAATAAAAAGTAACTTAATGGGAATTTTAAAAATTAATTTCTTTGAATTTAATTGAAGATCACAACACAATTAGTTAAAACTATATGTCAAACATGGTATAGAATTGTTAAGTATATTAATCTTACTTTGAGCATATGCTCTTTGTGTAGTTTTCCACACAGTATAATATAGCAATTATTTCACTAATATAGTTAGATATAACAATATAAAGAATTATGTTAAAATCCAAAAACAAAACTTAAGAAATTGAAGTATAAAATTTAAGGTTTCCTGCCGGGACTGGTTTGGCTCAGTGGATAGAGCGTCGGCCTGCGGACTGAAAGGTCCCAGGTTCGATTTTGGTCAAGGGCATGTACCTTGGTTGCGGGCACATCCCCAGTAGGGGGTGTGCAAAAGGCAGCTGATCGATGATTCTCTCTCATCGATGTTTCTAACTCTCTATCTCTCTTCCTCTCTGTGAAAAATCAATAAAATATATATTTTTTAAAAATTTAAGGTTTCCTCCATAAAAAAATCTTAAAAAATTGCATAGACTAAATTTAAATAATTATGCCCAGTAAATCCTTTGTACAGAAAATATTTATTTTTAAAAATATATTTTAGTTAAAATTTTTAAAATTTAATTTAAACAAACCTTTCCTCAATCAAAAAACAAACAAACAAATAGTTCAGCTATTTCTCCCACCCTACCACCCATCGCTTGCAACCACCAATCTGTTTTCTGTACCCATGAGCTTGGATTTCTCTTATTCTTTTTTATTTAGATTCTACATTCTTATATGTTTTTGCTTTCTCTAACTTATTTCACTTTTCATAGTGCTCTTGAGATCCATCCATGATCTTACCAGTGGCAAGATTTCATTTCCTTTTATGGCTGAATAATAGTCCACTGGGTGTGTGTATAATGTGTGTGTGTGTGTGTGTGTGTGTGTGTGTGTGTGTGTGTGTTTCCACTGGGTGTGTGTATAATGCGTGTGTGTGTGTGTGTGTGTGTGTGTGTGTAACATTTTCTTTATTCATCTATTGATGGACACTGGGGTTGTTTCCATATCTTGACTAATATAAATAATGAAGAACATGGGGTGTATATATGTCACTTGAGTTTTTATTTACTTTGGATAAATATCCATGTGTGGAATTTCTGGATTATACAGTAGTTCTATTTTTTTTTTAAATTTTCACCGCAGGACATGCTTACTGATATCTGAGAGGGAGGGAGGGAGGGAGGGAGGGAGGGAGGGAGGGGGAGAGAGAGAGAGAGAGAGAGAGAGAGAGAGAGAGAGAGAGAGAGAGAGAGAGAGAGAGAGAGAGAGGAAGAGAGAGAGAGAAATTGAGAGAGAGAGAGAGAAAGATCGAGAAAGATCTCTTATTTGCCTTAACTAAACCGAACCTGCAACCTATATATATGTGCCTGACTGGGAATCAAATCCATGACTTTTTGGCATATGGGACAATGTTCCAACCAACTGCAGTTCTATTTTTAATTTTTTGAGGAATTTGCATTCTTTATTCTATGCTGGTTGCACCAATTTACATTCCCAGTAACAGTAAACAGGATACCCTTTTTTCCACATCCTTGCCAATACTTGCTATTTCTTGTTTTTTGAAAAACAGCCATTCTAACTAACATGTGTGAGGTGATATCCCATTGTGGATTTGATATGCATTTCCTAATAATTAATGATATTGAGCATCATTTTATGTACCTGTTGGCCATCAGTATGTCTTTTTTGGAAAAATGTCTATTCAGATCTTCTGTCCGTTTTTAATTGAACTACTTGCTTTTTTGCTATTGATTTGTCTGAGGTTTTTGTTTGTTTTTGTCAATCCTCACCTGAAGATATTTTTCCATCGATTTTTAGAGAGAGCAGAAGGGAGGGGAACAGACAGAAATACCCATGTGAGAGATAAACATGGATTGGTCGCCTCCCACATGGGCACCAACCAGAGCCAGGATGGAGCTTTCAATCTAGACATATGCCCTTGACTGGAATAGAAGCCCCAGTCTTCAGACCAATGCTCTATCCACTGAGCCAAACAGGCTAGGGCTGCCTGAGGTCTTTCTATTTGTGGATATTAACCCCTTATCAGAGATATGATTTGCCATTATTTTCTCCAATTTGGTAGGTTGCCTTTGTTTTGTTGATGGTTTCCTTTGCTGTGAAAAAGCTTATTAGTTGGATGTAGTCCCACTAGTTTTTGTTGTTGTTGTTTCCTTTTCTTTTGAGGTCAGATTTAAAAAATCATCAAGACTTATTTCAGAAAGATTATCACTTATGCTTTATTCTAGATGTTTTATGGTTTCAGCTTATATGTTCAAATCTTCAATTCATTTTGAGGGTTTTTTTTTTGTTTTGTTTTGTGTGTGTGTGTGTGTGTGTGTGTGTGTGTGTGTGTGTGTAGTGTAAGGTAGTGGCCCAGTTTCATTCTTTTGCATATGGCTGTCCAATTTCCCCACCACCATTTATTAAAATTGTCCTTTCTACATTGTGTATTCTTAGCTCCTTTGTAGTAATTGAGAACATATTAGGTGTACCAGTTAATAATGTAGATTTTTTTCAATAGATGGAGTTCTACATATGTTGGTATATATATATGAATGAATTGATATGCTATTTTGTTATATTGATAGCAAGCTTCAAAACTTCACATGTCAAATTTGTTGAAGGTGCTAAACATCATAGATATTTTTATACTTAAAAATGTTTAATTTCATGCCAAAAAAAAGAGCGTTTGTGGGAAGTTTTAATTCACTACTTTATTTTGAAGAAAAAGTTATCATATACTTTGGGAAGCTTATGGTGAACATGCTCCATCTTCAGATACTTGTGACCGCTGGTTTAAATGCTTTAAGAGTAATGATTTTAACGTGAAAGCAAAGAAAAATTGTCCTTTTTACATTGTGTATTCTTACTCCTTTGTAGTAATTGAGAACATACTAGGTCAACTGAAAAAATTTGAAGACCAACAATTACAAGCATTATTAGACGAAGATGCGTGTCAAACTCAAAAACAACTTGAAGAAAGATTAAATGTTGCTCAACAAACACTTTCTGATTGTTTACAAGCAATGGGAAAGATTTTAAAAGAAGGAAATCTGGTGCCACATCAACTGGGTTGATCCAGGTCAACCATCAACATCGACTGCAAGGCCAAATCACTTCAGAAAGAAGACAATGCTCTGTGTTTGGTGGGATTAGGAAGGTATAGTAGATTATGTGCTTCTAAAACCAGGTGAAACCATTAATACTGATTGCTATCAACAACAAATAATCAATTTGAACCACGCTTTGATCATAAAATGACCAGAATTTTCCAGAAGACCTGGCAAAGTAATTTTGCTTCATGATAACATACCATCACACACTTCAAAACCAGTTAAAGACATGTTAAAATATCTTGCTTAAGAAATACTAACCCACCCGCTGTATTCACCAGACCTTGCTCCTTCAGATTACCACTTGTTCCAATTGATGGCACATGCACTTTCTGAGCAGCACTTCAAAACATAAGAAGAAGTGGAAAATTGGGCCTCTGAATGATTTGCCTCAAAATAAGAAAAGTTCTATTGGGACGGTATTCACAAATTACCTGAAAGATGGGGGAAATGTGTAGCTAGCAATGGACATTAATTTGAATAAAGCACTTTCGATGTTTCTCTTTTCTTTGATTACAAAATCCACCATTATGAACCGGTACACCTAGTATGTGTGGTTGTATTTTTGGGCTCTCTATTCTGTTCTATTGATCTTTCCTGAAGATTGCTTTGGCTATTTGGTGTCTTTTTTGGTTCCATATAAATTTTAGAATTGCTTTCTATTTCTGTGAAAATACTACTGAAATTTTAATAGGGATTATGAATCCGTATATAGCTCTGGGTAGTATGAACATTTTAATTCTTCCAACCATGAGCATAGATTACTGATTTACATGTGTTTTCTTCAATTTCTTTCATTAATATCTTAGTTTTCAACATTCATATCTTTCACCTCCTTGGTTAAATTTATTCCTAGGTATTCCATTCTTTTTGATGCAATTGCAAATAAGATTGTTTTCTTAATTTTTCAGTTCATTGTTTGTATAAATAAATGTAACAAATTTTTATGTATTCATTTTGTATCCTGCAACATTATTGAATTTGTTAGTTTTAATAATTTTTGATTCTTGTTAGTAGTAAATTTGCTCAGATGTTCCATTTCAGAATATAATTCAGTATTGGTAAGTTGTATATTTCTAGTAATTTATCTATTTCTCCTAGGATGTCCTATTTACTGGCATATAATTGTTCAGAATACTCTCCTATGGACCTTGGTATTTCTGTAGTATCAGTTATAACATCTTTTTCATGTCTGTTTACTTATTTAAGTCTCTTCTCGTTTTTCTCTTGGCGAGTCTAGCTAGCATTTTGTCAATTTTCAAAGATTGAGCTTTTAGTCTCACTGATCTTTCTCTATTGTTTTTTAAGTCTCTACTTCACTTATTTCTGCTTGAATCTTTATTTTCTTCCTTCTAGCTTTGGGCTTTGTTTTACTTTTTTTTTAGTTCTTTGAGGTGTAAAGTTAGATTGTTTGAGACTTTTCTCATTTCTTGAAGTAGGTATTTATAACTATGCACTGCGTTTTCTGCATCCCATAAATTCTTGTATGTTACATTTCCATTTTCTCTTGTCTCAAGATAGTTTTTGATTCTCTTTTGATTTTTTCTTCGGTTGTCAGTAAAATGCTTAATCACCACCTATTTGTGAATATTCCAGTTTTCTTCATGTAGTTTATTTCCAGTTTCATACCATTGTGGTCAGAAAATATACTTGATATGATTTCAATTCTCTTGAATTTATTAAAACTCGTTTTGTGGCCTAAAATGTGATTTATCTTGTAAAATGTCATGTATATAGTTGAGAATAATGCGTATCCTATTCCTTTTGGATGGAATGTTCATAACATCGTTATCAATTTAAAATAGACTGTGATAGATATAAGCTGTTAT